GAAAGACCCGAGCTAACATGGGGTTAGCTTGTTAAATTACAATAAAGCCTCGTGCAGTTTGCAGCAAGCTCTCGAATCCGCCTGGTGATTGGGGTGACCGAGAACCTGGCCTGAGACCCAGGATACTTGAGTTTTCGGGGGTCTAACAATAGCAGAGATCTAGAAAGAATGAGAGAAGGAGGCCTCAGCCAGCTCCGGTAGCCAACTCTACTGGGTGGTCTTTATTCCAAGGATGGCAGGCATAGATTTAACTTCTTAAAAATTTCATAATAATGGGTTCCTCCTCTCAAATAGTAGAAGCATAATTCATCCTAAATTTAAAAATTCACTTTTTCTGTCACAGGTCTCCATTCAGGCTCCCACTTGCTCTTCTCCCAGACTCCTCTTCTCCCTGCCTTTGGGCTGCTTTGTTGTTCTTTGACTTCCTGAGTCGGTGCTGCTCTGGCTGTTTGGCCATTAGCACGGTGCTATCGAGCCTGAACTTAGTCAATCTACTTGAGCAACATGTAACCAGCTGACTCCCCACACGTGTTTGTTTAAAGATTCATCTTCAGGGAAGGACACAGAAAACAGCAAGTGATAGAACAAACTGAATTTTAAAATAAATAATGACAGTTATGGAAATGCTGAAATCAGATCCATAGGTACAGCAAAAACAGCCTTGAGGGATAATTACAGATGTGTAAGATAAAGCATGGCCCAGCTCGTCCTGAAAAGTTCCAGTAAGCAAGACCAAGATAAGAGAATGGGGTTTATGCCAGGGTGGAAGGGTTTTGCTAAGTAAGCAGAAAAAAGTCTAGTAAAAATGGCCGTCTCATGTCAATCCCAGTTCCCTCTTCCTCCCCTCCTCCCCTGCCCCCCACTAACACCCTACCTATCCTTTCTGCTCCCCAGGGCGGGTGAGGCCTTCTATGGGGGATCTTCAGAGTTAAAAAAAAAAATGGCTGTCTCATAATAGATAGGGCTTCTGGGGGATATATCCCTGAACGTGTTGAAACTGAAATTAGGTGTTCTGTCTGTTAGCGAAGCAATAGAAGTAGACACCCTCAGTTATAGGGAGATCTAGCTGGAGAGCCTCGTCATTCATAAAGCACCAAGGAAACGAGGATCTTGCAGAGGGAGACGTATTAAATATGAGTGGATAATATTCTCCTCTTCTTTAATAGCAATGAAATGCATTGCTTTGTAGAAAGTTGTGTTTTACACACATACAAGTAACATTGTATGGACTCAACAGCTTATGTTTAGGAATATAAATATATATATATACAAGTACATGTATGCATGCAATAGCAATTAATGAAAACAAAAAGCCTTGACTTTGAAGGAGAGTTGGAAAGGGTATATAGGAGAGATGGCAGGGAGGAAGGGGAAGAAAGAAAGGTTGTAATTAAATTATAATCTCAAAATAAACAACAGCAAGGGGAGGCTGAGTTTTAAAGTCCTTGTCTGAATTCTGATTAATCAGAGATCAAGATCGAAGAATATTAGGTATTTAGTGAATCATTAAACAGCCATGTGTTTCCCCCTTGCAAACTGAAGTGTGTGCATGCTTCTGGTTTTATTTATTTTTATCAGTAACAATCTTGCTTCACATGTCAATCCCAGCTCCCTCTCCCTCCCCTCCTCCCCCACCCCCTACCAACCTCCCCCAAGCCCCCCACCCCATCCCTCCTCCACTCTCCAGGGAGGGTGAGGCCCTCCATGGGGAAACTCCAAAGTCTGTCATATCATCGCAGGCAGGACTTAGGCCCTCCCCATGTGTCCAGGCTGAGAGAGCATCCCTCCACGTGGGATGGGCTCCCAAAGTCCATTTGTGCACCAGGGATAGATACTGATCTTCTACCCAAGGCCCCATAGATTGCTGAGGCCTCCTCACTGACACCCATGTTCAGGGGGTCTGGGTTGGTTCTATGCTGGCTTCTCAGCCATCAGTCTGGGGTCCCTGAGCTCCCCCTTTTTCAGGTCAGCTGTTTCAGTGGGTTTCACCAGCCCGGTCTTGACCTCTTTGCTTATCACTATCTGCAACTGAGTTCCAGGAGTTCAGTTCAGTGTTTAGCTGTGGGTGTCTGTGTCTGCTTCCAGCAGCCACTGGATGAAGGCTCTAGGATGGTATATAAGGTAGTCATTAATCTCATTATCGGGGAAGGGCATTTAGGGTAGCCTCTCCACTATTGCTTAGATTGCCACTTGGTGTCATCCTTGTGGATCTCTGGAAATCTCCCTAGTGCATGTTTCTAATGATAAGAAGGAATATGTAGTTACTGTAGGAGGTGTGGTAACTCCAGAAAAATAGCAGGAAAATTAAATCCATTGATAATGATATCATTCTGATACATCTCAGATTAACACTGCCATATATTACCATGTATTTTTTTAAAGAGATAAAAATGTACAAATCAAAAGCAAAAATTCCCACTTCAACCTCCTACTTGGAAGTCCTGTTCCATGGAGGTCTCAGTTATAATGGTTTGATGCTTCTGTCTATATCTGCCAGTGATGTACTTATATATTTTTCATCTACCAAGTAATAAACGGTGTACTTCTGCCCAGGAAATGGATGTGGTGATGTGGCAGGGACTGGGGAGAGACAGGAGTAACTGGCAGAGCTGCTAGCCCCCCACATGTACACACACACTCACACACACACACACACACACACACACTCACACACACATACACACACACTCACACACACACTCACACACACTCACACACACACACACACACACACACACACACACACAGAGACACACACACTGAACACCAAGGTTCAGTCAAGCCTTCTTCTTTCCTGTCCTGTTTCTTCTTTTCAGATTTCCAGTCTTTTTATTTTGGATTTTTCCCCCAAACATTTCTTGTACTTGTTCCCTTCATATTGAAGTTCAAATTCTACCTCCTGATGTGCTTTTGGAAAGCATTAGATGATCAGTGCTCTCAAATCCCTTAGATCCCCCTCCAGGAGAACATCATTTTTAGAAAGGCTAACCGTGAAGGCTCTAAATCTTTGCACCTCTAAGGTGCCCATAAGTTTATGAAATTCTAGCTCCACAATTTTTTTTAGCTCTGAAGATTTTGCTACATTTTCCCTTAGAGTCTTGTGTTACTAAGAATTCTTATTCCTGTGATCCTTGCTAGATGCTTTTTACTCATTATAGTCACAGGTCTGACTTCATAGTCTTTACCTAAAGGTTTCGTTCAACCTAAAGACTCATAGTTTTCTTATTGCTGAGACATTTTCATGTTACTCTTTAATTTCCTTTCTTCTACTTGGAAATTCTGTGTCTTTGGAGTTTCTTCTTTAGATAGATGTTGAATTCTCTAATGTGTTTTTCTCTCTAATTTTTTTCTCTCTCTCTTTCTCCTTTTTAAAATATTCTCTCTTTTCCTCTATATGCTAAGAGATTTTTCCAGTGATTTCTTCCAGTTGTCCTAAAAATCTTTATTTTAATATTCAGCAATTATGAATAATTTTTCTTAATTTCTGGATATACCTTTTTCTTTAAAATCCACCTGTTTAAAGGATATAATGTGATGGGCAGTGGTGGCTCATGCCTTTAATCCCAGCACTTGGGAGGCAGAGGCAGGCAGGATCTCTGTGAGTTCGAGACCAGCCTGGTCTCAAGAGCTAGTTCCAGGACAACCTCCAAAGCAACATAGAAACCCTGTCTCGAAAACAAACAAACAAACAACAAGAAGAAGAAAAGGTATGATATATTGAACACATTCCTCCCAAGAATAAACATCCCAATAAATATTTTCTATGGATCAGGGATTTATGAACTACTTGCTTGACTCTGTTTTGAGGTCTCCCCTGAGGCTCTTGGCTAGAGGATCTGCTTCTAAGATGTTCACCCACTTGAGTGTTGGCAGAAGCACTCAATTTCTTCGATGGCTTTTACAAAGTTACTCATTTCCTAATCAAGTGGACCTTTCCCTAGAGCCTGTTGAACATCTTCATGACAGGACTGCCAAGCTTCTTGAGAATGATTGGCCTGAGAGGGAAGCTAAGACCTTGTCATGGAAATCATACAATATTATTTTTACTACTTTCTTACTTATATGTACAGTGTTCTGCCTGCATGTACACCTGCAGGCCAGAAGAGGGCACCAGATCTCATTACAGATGGTTGTGAGTCACCATGTCCTTGCAGGGAATTGAACTCAGGACCTCTGGAAGAGCAGTCATGGCTCTTAACCTCTGAGCCGTCTCACCAGCCCCTCTTCCTTCCTGCCTTCCTTCCTTCCTTCCATCCTTCCTTCCTTCCTTCCTTCCTTTCTTTCTTTCTTTCTTTCTCCCCCCTTCTCTATCTCTCTTAAGATTTTAAAAATGTGTATGTGTCTCTGTATGTGTGCCACATCCTGCAGGTATCTTTGGAGGCCAGAAGAGGGCATCAAATCTAATGGAATTGGACTTGCCTTTTCAATAATTGTGAGTCACCTATTGTTGCTGCTAAGAATTTTGTGTAGAAAGGAGTAACAACAACATCAAAATCCATTGACATATTTTTAAAGTCATCACATCAAAATTGCTTATAATGACTTATTTTGTTTTAAAACAAGTTCTCACTATGTAGCTCAGTCTGGCTTTTGAACTCATGATCTTTCTCCTTCAGCTTCCCAGGTGCTGGGATTACACTTACTGTGGCATACTTTAACTTCATTCTTACTTGAATTATGTAGAGCTATTTACACTAGAAATACTTGTTGTGTGTTATTTGAATCACTGTGTACCATTGTCCAAATCCCTCACTGCAAACCGTTCCATTCCAAGAGGTCCCGAGAGCATTCTAAGCAGTGACACTTCTTGTTTCCTCTCAGGTGCTGGTCGTGCTTCTTCTGATTGTAGCAGCCATAGACCTGGCTCTTGCACTTACAGAAGATTCTGGACAAGACACAATTCCTCCTGTTAGATATACGAATCCAATCCTCTACATATGCACATGGGTAAGGTCTAATACTACTTCCACCCTGTTTGTCTTCTCTTAACCCATACAAAGATGAAGTATACCATTTGAGTATTTAATTACCTCAGTTTCACCCGTCTTTTACAAGAATTTAATTTACAGAGAAATATTACTTAGCAAATTTCTTCTTGTTTTGAATTATAATCTATAGAAGCTTCTCTAATCTTAGTACCTCATTTCTTGCCATCTAAGGACCACAGAAAAGATCTAAATTTCATGATGTAAAATAATTTTTAAATGTTGTAAATATTATTTTTAATTGGCTGATGGCTAATCAGATCACCAAGTCTAAAGTTGTATATAAGTTTGATATTGGAAACTGCCATACCAGGGGTTGAGGAGTGTGCTCTACTCTAGCCTATCTTAAAACAGAGAAAGAAAGAAAAAGAAAAGAAAAGAAAAGAAAAGAAGGAAACTACTATCTCTCCTGCAGCATGTTTTATTTGGGGAGAGAAGCATATGATATTTTTAAAACTATTGAATAGTTGCTATCATATTAAAAGAGGATTTGGATTGACAAACGTTCTCAAAAAATGAGACTTTGCCTCATTAAAGGTGATGGCTCACGCCTTTAATGTCAGCATGAGGGAGGCAGTGGCAGGTGGATCTCTGTGAGTTCGAGGATAGCCAGGACTGTTTCACAGAGAAACCCTGTCTCAAAAAACAGAGGGGTGAGGGAGGGAGGGAGGGAAGGAGGGAAGGAGGGAGAGAAGAGAGAGAGAAGCTTTGATTTTTCTATGTGCCCTGGTGCTGCCTTCATTCAGTAACATGATTTGGCAATTCTCCAGGAATCCTGTTTGTGATTGCTGCTCAGACAGTGCTGTCCTGCAGTGTCTTGTTGCTGGTTAATACAGAGCTGACTGGGCTGGGTTTTTTTCCCCAGCTCTTCATTCAGTGACATTATGTGGGAACTGAATCTACTACTGTTTACACGAGGACAGTTGACAATTGCTACAATTCATGGCTTTCTCCCTCCAGAATAGTGGTTTGCAAGCACAGCACTAGGTATAGGAACCAACATGTCTGACTGAAATGATACAAGGCAAGGCTTAGTTTGTTTTTTTTTTTTTTAATGAGTTTCTTAGACCAATATTATTGAGGTATAGCCTACTGTATATATTCATCAGAATCTGCCTCCTTCTCCTGACCACTGCCTGCTATTGATTTCCTTGTGTCCTGGAAAGGTTTCATGACTCTCAAAGTAACTCCACTAAAATTTAATCGTAATGCTCTGCTTTCCTGTTAACTTCTCACCTAAGTGTAGAGATGAAGCACTAGAGAGGGCTCAGCAGCATCAAGGAAGAAAAGTAAATCTGACCTCCATGTAGCCTCTGCCTGACCAGATCAGCTTCAACTCCTATTTCTTCCCTATTCCCTGACACCCTTTCTCCTCTCTCCATAGTGGTGACACTGTGCTCCAGGGTTTTGTGTGTGTCCTTGGTGGTGACACTGTGCTCCAGGCTTGTCTGTGTGTCTGTGGTGGTGACACTGTGCTCCAGGGTTTTGTGTGTGTCCTTGGTGGTGACACTGTGCTCCGGGGTTTTCTGTGTGTGTGTCCTTGGTGGTGACACTGAGCTCAGGGTTTTGTGTGTGACTGTGGTGGTGACACTGTGCTCCAGGGTTTTGTGTGTGTCCTTGGTGGTGACACTGTGCTCCGGGGTTTTCTGTGTGTGTGTCCTTGGTGGTGACACTGAGCTCAGGGTTTTCTTCATTCCCTCCAGCTCCTGGTGTTAGTGATCCAGCACAGCAGGCAGCGATGCATACAGAAGAACTCTTGGTTCCTGTCCATATTCTGGGTTCTCTCAATCCTCTGCAGCACGTTCCAGTTCCAGACTCTGATACGAGTGCTCCTGCAGGTAAGGAGAAAGGGGAGGTGACAATAAGACATACTGCTGGGCAGCTTCGGAATCAGAAAATGGCCTCAAGCAATCTGATAGGATTACACCAAAGAGTTTAGTAATAGTCTTTAGTCCTAAACACAGGCATGCAAGGATTGTTTAGACTGTGATTAAAAAAACCAACTCATTGTTTGTTTGTTTGCCTCCCACCCATAGGACAGCAAGTCTAACTTGGCCTATTCCTGCCTGTTCTTTGTCTCCTATGGATTCCAGATCATCATCCTTATTCTTTCCACCCTTTCAGAAAAAAGCGACCCATCACATGTGAGACTCTAACTACATTCATTTCATATGTTATTTAATTGGAGGATACCTGAGCATAAGTAGCTTGGAGATGTCTGGGTTTCATGGCATTCTCATGAACCCATAATGTAAAGATTGAATGTCACTGATCCAAAACTCTAATATCCAAAATTCCCCAAATTTGAAACTTTCAAAAAGACTGTACAATGTTGCAATCTGGAAAAACTTCAAAACCCGAGACACAATTGGTCCCAATCGATAAACGATACTCAACCTGTAGTGTAGAATGTTTTGTGTACATAAAGAAACAGAATGCTAAGTATACGGAAACACCGACTTCTATGTTCACCTGTAAATGTTCCTCACTGGCAGCTAACACATGTACCTACACCAGAAAATCTGGTTGTTAGAACCTCTGAATGCATCTGAGCCAACATCGGCCAAACAGCTAGTTTCTGAAGACATGTCTAGAAAATCAGTTTCTAATTTTAGAGTCCCATAGAGTTCCTATTTCCAATTGATTCACTTTTCAACATTTTCTATTTTTCAGAATCCATCATCCACGGCTTCATTTCTGAGTAGCATTACATTTAGTTGGTATGACAGGTAGGAAGTGCCTGGATTATTTATGGCTTTCCTTATTTCCTTATATGCTTACTTCTCTGAAAATGATGGAAAGCTCAGTTTTTTAAAAGTGCCTCCTGGGGCCTCAATTTCTCTTCTCTTTAGAGAGTTTGGGTGAGTTTAATTCAGCCCCTTCGTGGGATGATTAGGATGAGGAGGAGGAACTGGGAAGTAATTATTTTTGGTATCCTGAGAGGTCCATGGGAGAAATGGAAGTAGACAGCAAGACAGGGAAGGGGACGGTGGAGTCAGGCGCTGTGCACAGGCTTGGAGGGAAAGGAAAACACAACAGCTTATGTTACCAGACGTCTAGAACAGCTTTCTTTGCTCTTTATAGTCTGTGGACCTCTGACAGGATAGGGAGGTCCATAGTATTTTACACACATCAGACACAGACTGTGGGGATGGAGAGATGAGCCAACAGCTAAGGTTCTTGTTACTCTTTCAGAGGACCTGAATTCTGTTCCCAGCACTCTTATCAAGTGGCTCACTTACTTACTATCTGTAACTCAAGCTCCAACAGGTTCTCACACCTCCAGCATACACAGACACCTGGACACATGTGCACATACTCTCATACAGACATGCGCACATACACGTAATTAAAAGGAAAATAAAAAGCAAATTTGTGATAGAGTAATGAATGTACTTTAAAATCAACTCATTCAGTCTAAAGGTCTAGTGATCGATCTCACTCGGATCACAATTTGAAAGTAGCAATGGGCCTGAGTTAGCCATGAAAACATCTGTGGTTTCTTGTGGTAGCAAAGACACCGTATTCTGTTCATATTAGGAGAAAAGGCTGTATTTCAGTTATGAGTTGTTATAAATAAAGATGCAGTTAATTTTCCATTCATCTTCTCAAGCCCCGCATTGGAGAGATCCAATCTAGAGAGACAGCATGAAGGCAGCTAGCTGGGAGATGTCTGCATTTCCTGAGGGCATCGTGGCGGTCCCTCAAGGAGATGGAGTTAGAGGGCCAGTTGGCACTTGAAGGAGAAGGACAGAGCGCAGGGGGAGGTGATGTCTTTGGCTTTTGATCCCTTTCTCTTCTCCATATTGTCTTCTAATGCATTGTCTCTGTGTTCTCCCCACTCTTCTGTTAGATTAAAGGGCCAGGAGATGGAGATAGTGGAGCAATAGATAAGTCCAAAGTGTCCTCCCTCTATCTCAGATCAGGAGATAGGTTCTGACAGGAGGCAGACTGACACAGCACATAGCGTTTCAGCCTGTGGGTCGTTCTTGTTCCAGCATTGTTCTGAAAGGTTACAAGCATCCGTTGACACTAGACGATATCTGGGATGTTGATGAAGGGTTCAAAACAAAGTCAATCGCAAGCAAGTTTGAAGAGTTCATGACAAAGGACCTGCAGAAAGCCAAGCAGGCTTTTCAGAGGCGGCGGCAGAAGAAGCTCCAGCAGAACCCTGAGGCCACGCTACACGGTTTGAACAAGAACCAGAGTCAAAGCCAAGATGTTCTTGTCCTGGTAACTTTAACACAAGTGTCTGGGTGAATGTGATGTATGTCTCAGGCAAGAAGCAGTGTCATTTCTGACATCTTTTTCACATTTTCACACTATCTTACACTGCCCCTGTACTTTGTATTAGTGATATACACTTCTAGTAGTGCCTGAGTGGTGGATGAATGGGGGTATAATATACTGTTGTTTCTCCTTTTGGATATATTTGGAAATTTTCATAGTGTAATAATGGTAATAATTAATCATCATAATAATAACGATAATGATAGCATTACTAGGGCTAGGGAGATGGATGGATGGCTCAGTGGGTAAGAGCACTTTCCACTGAGCCTGGTGATTTGAATACCTAGAACCTACATAAAAGTAGACACAGTAGAACATGTATCTGTAATTCTAGGTAACCACAGGAAATTGGGAGTGGAGACAGGTAAATATGCAGAAGCTCTTAGGCCAGCCAGCCAGGTTTAAGCAGCAGGGAAGGGGCCCTATCTTAAACAAGGTAAGAAGGCCAAGACCAACATGTGAAGGTTGTCCTAACACCCAAGTGCACACTTTGGCACACCTGCAACCTGCACTCCCACACACAAGCATCCTCTCCACACATGGGTGTGTACACACACACACACACACACACACACACACACACACACACACACACACTACTAGAAACTGCACTGTATTGGAAGTCAGCATTAGTAACTAATGTATTGACTCATTTATTCAAACAAGTTTACTGAGCACAGATGCGTGTCTGTTGGGGGTAATGGATACAACAAACAAGTCTGATCGAAAGCTCATCTTTAGAGAGCCAGGGAAGGAAGCAATAAGCCAATAAATATGCTGAGAGTGATCGATGCTATTGATAAAATAAAAAAACAAGCACGGCACAGTGATTACTCAAGAAGCTCAGGCAGGAAGGAGATGGTAGGTTGAGAACAGCTTGAGCAACAATGAGAGGAAGGGAAGGAGACAGGAGGGAAGGGCAGAGGAGAGGACACAGGGTGATAGAGCACCGCTCCCCATGTTGATGACCCTGGGCTTGATTCCCAGGACCACATACGCACAGAGGAAGAGGAGGAAGGTGGTGTCGGGGTGGGAAGAGGACAGGGAAATGGATCATCCCCAAGCACCGGAAGCTAGAAATCTGAACTGAGGTCACCAGCAGGGTCATTTCCTCTCTGAAACACGGAAGGAAGCACCACTTCTGCCTTCCTTACCAATGTTCTGTGCTAGAAATCCCAGGCCTAGACATAGATATATTGAGATCCCCATGTAGCCCTGAGCTTTTCTCAGGGGGAGCTTTTAAGCACAGAAACCATGTTCTGGGTTGACACACTGCAGTAAATAAGAACAGTTAGCCAGAAGCAGAACCAAGGATGCTAAGATGTGTGGTTAGTACATTTAGAGACTTTCCCAGAACTATGGACTTTGATGGATTAGGTTTTTGTTTTTGTTTTGGCAGATAGTGCTGTCTGCGTGCTGAGTTTTAGGGCCTGGGTGGTACTTTCATCATGGAGTCAGTTTTGCTAAGGTCTGAGGCCCTGTTACGTACTAAGCCATGACTTCAGACCTGGGGGTCTTGAAACAGTCTTTTTTAATGTATTTAAGACTGGCCTTGAACTCACTGTGTAGGTCAGGCTGGCCTCAAATGAATGCTCCTTCTGCCTTAGCCTCCTGAGTACAGGAATTCCCGGTGTCTGTCAGTGCTTATGTTTACGATGTATTCTCTCTAGTTTGGTTGTCTGCTTTTCCAATTCAAAAGATACTGTGGTACGAGTTGGGTGGGGAAGAGAGAAGCGAGAAGAAGGTGGGCAGCAATAAGGAGGTGAAGGGAAGATTTCAACAGTATAGAGGGGGCAGTGGGCTCACAGGCCCTGTTGGTGCCTGGAGCCATTCAAAGCACAGTCTTACGAGGCTTACACCACATAATTCTGTGGACATAGTTGTTTTTGGTTTTGTACCTAGGAAGAAGCTAAAAAGAAGAAAAAGAAGTCTGGGACCACAAAAGACTTTCCCAAATCCTGGCTGATAAAGTCCCTCTTCAAAACCTTCCATGTGGTGATCCTGAAATCATTTATATTGAAATTAATACATGATATTCTTATGTTTCTGAGTCCTCAGCTACTGAAGTGAGTTCCCAGGACTTCTGTGCTTCCTGGACCTTCTCTGCTACCCTCCCCTGCCCTTTGAATACATAGGCAAGAATGTTCATTGCTTTTCTGTTTTTGAAAAACACTTCTGCTTTCCAGCTTTGTGTATACAAAGAGCACAAGGCCGTTTTCAAGATCTAAGATGTGCCCTCTTTTCTGTGCCCCTCTCCTATGAGGAGGTCATATACTCATTAGATTTTTTTGTTGTTAAACTGAACTAGTATGGACTGAACCACACCTACGAGGTGGGCAGCATGCTTCAGCAGAGTGACTAACTTCATCTCTGCATAGCCAGCACCTTTCTTAGAGTGCTCATGATGGGGCTGTGCGATATCTGCCATTGTATCGCATGATTGGCCAGCTAGAGAGTCCTTGCCTCATCTGGGTATGAGCTTGCATTGTCTAAAAATGAATGGACCTAATCCCATTCCCTGTGACAGGGCTGAAACATGACAGTGGTGTGTGTGTGTGTGTGTGTGTGTGTGTGTGTGTGTGTTTAAGAGAGAGGGGGGAGGAAGAGAAGAAGGGAGGGAGGGAGGGAGGAGAGACAGATTTCTCTAAAGTTTTTTTTTTTTCCATTTTTTGAGAGTGAGAGGGAGAGATTTCTCTAAAGACCATCCCCCACTTTTTTTGGAGTCTCTCTATGTTGCCTAGGCTGAATGACATTAAATTCTTGGTTCTCCTCCCTTGGCCCCTGAGTACTGGGATTGCATGTTTTAAGGTTTCTATTATTTTGATGAAATGCCATGACTAAAAGCAAGTTGGGGAGGACAGGTTTATTTGGCTCACTTCCACATCATAGTCCATCAGTGAAGGAAGTTGAGGCAAGAATTCAAACAGGGCAGGGATGATGAGGCAGGGGCTGATGCGGAGGCCATCCAGGGTGCTTCTTACTGACTTGCCCCTCATGGCCTGCTCAGCCTGCTTTCCTATAGAACTCAGGACCACCAGCCCAGGGATGGAACCACCCACAATGGGATGGGCCCTCCCCCACCAATCACTAATTAAGAAAAGTTCCCAGCCAGGTGGGTTGGTGCACATGTCTTTAATCCCAGCAGTTGGGAGGCAGAGGCAGGAGGATCTCTGTGAGTTTGAGGTCAGCCAAGTCTACAAAGTGAGTTCCAGGACAGCCATGACTATTACACAGAGAAACCCTGTCTTGAAAAAAAAAAAGAAAGAAAGAAAAAAAGAAAAATTTCCTACAGGCCAGCCTACAGCCTGATCTTATAGAGGCATTTTCTTAATTGAGGTTCCCTCCTGTCAGGTGACTTTAGCTTGTATCAGCGCCAATTTTTGTTGTTTATTTAACTACAGTGCAAGAGTGAGGCTTTAGTTGTACATAAGTACAAGAAAGGAGCCTTGGGGACCTAATGAGTGAGTATCATTTAATTTGGTTTTGTTCCTGCAGGTTTCTCATTGCCTTTGTGAGCAATCCTGACACATACACGTGGCTTGGATATGTCTCTGCAATCCTGATATTTGTGGTGACTCTCATCCAATCTTTCTGCCTTCAGTATTATTTTCAGTTTTGTTTCGTGTTGGGGATGACCGTACGGACAACTGTCTTGTCTTCTGTATATAAGAAGGTTAGTGATTATGTCAAGTATAGCAAAAAAAAAAAAAAAAAAAAAAAAAAAAAAAAAAAAAAAGGAAAGAGAGAAAGAAAACAATCAAACCAAAGAAAAAACAATAAATATGAGCATTTACTCCAAGATTGAGGAAAATTTGATAGAAATGAAAATTAATGTCAACACTTAATTTTCATTAGTTATAAGGTTCCCCTAAATCCTTCTTTGGAAATTAAAAACTGAAGTGTTTGTGATACTGAGCATCCTAGGAACAGACTAGCAAGCTGCCCAGGGTCTGCCGTTCAGCCCTGAAGGCTCAGACACCCATTCTCTTTATGTCTCTTGACAAAATGGAAAGCCTCAGGAAATGAGGTAAAGCCAGAGAAGAAGGCACTGAGGGCCACACTCTTAAAACCATCAACATTTAATTTTAGAAAAAATTTTCTTTTATATTGTGTGCTGGGTATTTTGTCTGCATGTATGTGTGTTCACCATATGTGTGTCTGGTGCCCACGGAGGCAAGAAGAGGGCGTCAGAGCCCCTGGAGCCAGAGTTACAGTCATTTGTGCTCCTCCATACCGATAGTGGGGATTGAATCTGAGCTCTCTGGAAGAGCATCCAGTGCTCTTAACCACGGAGCCAGCTCTCTCTCCAGCCCCTGACCACCGACACTTAATTTAAATACTAGCAAGAGTTCAAAGACCTGATGTATCTATCTGTCCCAAATCATAATCTTACCAGTGGTATTAGATTGTTGTCTGAGCCACAGCCCATCTCCTTAGAATATATTTTTCCCAGAAACTTCTTTTTCTGGCTCTTTCTTCGCTTTGTGTTTGTTGTTTTGTTTTGGGGGTGCTGATGATCAGACTTGGGACCTTCTGTTTGCTACACAAATGTGCCACCACTGAGCTACATCCCCAGCCTACAATTCCTTTCTCTATCTCTAGCAGCTATCAAACCTTCCTCGGCCTATTTACTTATTTGTTTGTTTATTATTTATCTGTTTACTTTTTAATTGCAGCTATAATCTCTCATTACTGAGCTCTGTAGGTTTGAGAAGTGTTTGTTCTATTTGCTTGAGATGATTTTGCTCATCTTTACTCTGATACATGGTTTAATTTTAAAAGTACATTTATTTGTGTGCATGTGTATATATGTGTATGTGTAGGTATATGTGTAGATCTGTGTGTATGTGTAAGTGTGTGTGTGTGTGTGTGTGTGTGTGTAGGTATGTGTATAGGTATGTGTAAGTATGTGTGTGTGTGTGTGTGTGTATGTGTATAGGTATGTGTATGTGTGTAGGTGTGTGTGTATGTGTAAGTATGTGTGTGTGTAAGTGTGTATGTGTGTGTATAGGCATATGTATAGTTATGTGTATATGTGTAGGAGTGTGTGTAAGTGTATGTGTGTAAGTGTGTGTGTGTATAGGTATGTTATAGGTATGTGTATGTAAGTGTGTATGTGTAAGTGTGTGCATGTGTATGTGTAGGTATGTGTATAGATATGTGTATGTGTGTAGCTGTGTGTGTGCGTGTGTGTATAGGTATGTATATCTGTGTAGGTGTGTGTGTGTGTAGGTGTAAGTGTGTAAGTATGTGTGTATAGGCATGTGTATAGTTACGTGTATGTGTGTGTGTGTGTGTGTAGGTGTGTGTTTATAAGTATGTGTATAGTTATGTGTGTGTGTAAGTGTGTGTGTAGAGGTATGTGTATGTGTGTGTGTAAGTGTGTGCATGTGTGTGTAGGCATGTGTATAGTTATGTGTATGTGTGTAGGTATGTGTTTAAGCATGTGTGTGTGTAAGTGTGTAAGTGTGTGTATAGGTATATGTATAGATACCTGTAGGTGTGTGTGTGAGTGTGTGTGTGTGAGTGTGTGTGTGTGTATATGTGTATGTGTGTAGTGTGTGTGTGTAGGTATGTGTGTGTGAGTGTGTATATGTGTGTGTGTATATATATAGGCATGTGTATAGATATGTGTATGTGTGTAGGTGTGTGTGTAGGTATGTGTATAGGTATGTGTGTGTGTAAGTGTGTGTGTGTAAGTGTGTGTGTGTGTGTGCGTGTGTGTATAGGCATGTATATAGGTATGTGTGTGTGTAGGTGTGTGTGAGAAAGAACAACTTGCAGGAAGTGGTTCTCTTCTCCTAAGGATCAAGCCCAGGTTGACAGGCTTGCTGGCAGGTGTTTTTACCTGCTAAGCCATCTCTCTGACCTGATATCAATCAATCAGAGCAACCAGGACAGTTCTTCAGGACAGGATCTCTACTTTTATTTAATTCTGATTTGTCTCAAGTTGACACTAAAACCAACCATATCACACACACACAGTAGTTCAAGATGGCCTGGAACTTAGTGTACATACCCAGTCTGGCTATGAACTTTCAGCAATCCTCCTGCCTCAGTTTTCTGAGTGCTGAGATTACCGATGTAAGCTACTCTACCTACTTCTGTAAGGCATAGTAAAGAACAGTGGTATGAGTATTAGTCTCCTGATCTCCCTAACATGAAAGCAGAAAGCCTATATTGCAGGATTCAGGCATGTAGAACTTGCCTGTGGACAGTAGAGACTGGCTGCAAGACTGGCTGAATATAAGTTAGCTATCTCAAAAGCCTACAAAGGGACTGGTGAGATGATTCAGCAAGGAAAGATGCATGCCACCAAGTTGATGACCGTGGGACCCTCCCATTACATACACACACACACACACACACACACACACACACACACACTAAGTAAATAAATAAATAAATAAATAAATAAATAAATAAATAAATAGAACACAATAAAATGTTGTCTGTAAGGTAAGAATCAACAATGCTGTCTTACTCCTTTTCTCCTTCCATCTTTAATTGCCTCATTTTCTCCCATTCTTCAGTATTGAATTACCTATGATACAATAGTGAAATGGGTAAATGTAGACCTTGTCCTCACAGTTTACATCTGATAAATAAATAGAAAAATAAAATAACCGTGGTTCTTTATAATTAAAGAAGGCGTTAACTACAGAATGTTATAGGGTACAAAAAGAGGTAACTCTTGTAAGTTTGGGAGTCTGGGTAGTCATTTCAAAAGTTGCATTTAAATTGATACCAAAGGACAGGTGGATATTTTCTGGGCAAAGAAGTGTATAGGTGGGTGGGGTTTAATGAAGGTGAAAATAAGAGGAACAAGTAGTCAAAAATGAGCTAACTCTGTGTGTTAAGGTTTGAATGAAAAGCTGTGGTCCCATTGAGAAGTTTGAATGGAAAGCTGTGGTCCGATTGAGAAGTTTGAATGAAAAGCTGTGATCCGATTGAGAAGTTTGAATGGAAAGCTGTGGTCCCATTGAGAAGTTTGAATGGAAAGCTGTGGTCCGATTGAGAAGTTTGAATGGAAAGCTGTGGTCCCATTGAGAAGTTCTGTCCGCATGGAGCCCATTCTTCTATCGTGTTCTCATTTCCTGAGGTCCTCTGCTGCTTCTCACCATCTTTTGTCTTATGTGCTGACCCCGATGCTAATCTTTATCTGTAGGCCCTGAGCCTTTCTAACTTGGCCAGGAGGCAGTACACCATCGGAGAAACGGTGAACTTGATGTCTGTGGATGCCCAGAAGCTGGTGGAAGTGACCAACTACATGCACCTGGTGTGGTCGAGTGTTTTACAGATCGCCTTATCCATCTTCTTCCTGTGGAGAGAGCTGGGGCCTTCAGTCTTAGCAGGTGTTGGGGTCATGGTTCTCCTCATCCCAGTTAATGGAGTGCTGGCTACCAAGAACAGGAAGATCCAGGTAAAAGAATCGTCACCGTGTGCATGTGCCCTTTGAACATGCGAGCTCTGACGTCCGCTACTAACTCCTGCAGGCGGCTGGGAAGTGAAAGCTTCTGGGAGACTTTCTACACCCCAGATGTACTTAGCTCCTTCTGTCTTCCTTGTGCTCCGACCACTCAGCTCTGCTGAGCTTCCTCCAGAAGTGATCTTTTTAAATCATGCGTCTTCATCATAGCAGAATAAACCAACCGCACATAGCAGCTCCATGGGTAATCCCACCTCTCAGCTTATGTCCTGGCATTCACCCTATGGTTGCTAGGTGGCAGTCCTCCAAGCAGACAGTCCTTAGCTCTGCCAGGAACTGCAGCAGTTGTGGTCTCCCTAGAATATGTGTTCTATTCATTCACTTGTTTTGTATTCATTTAGTAGCAGGTAGTGTCTTAAATCTCTTTATTGCATGTCTTACCAAGAGCACAGCAAGGAATCAGACAAGGATTCTACTCTCATGGTATTGTATTTTGCTTCAAGGGTGGAGAGATAGACAACAAAGAAAAAAAAATCAGCCGGTGATGAGTACTCCACAGAGAACTGGGTGTAAAATGACAGTGGGTGGGTAGATGTTTTCAGTTAGGAGGTCGAAGGAGACCCCTGTGAGGTGGGCATCTAATGCCAAGCTCTGGCAGACACATCCTGACAACGGAGGCATGAGCCTTGGGAGCAGCAAGGGGAGCATGGTCTGAGGGCAGAGTCCAGTCAGGCAAGGCTACAGGAGGATGGGTAGAAACAAGCGTGGCGTCTTTCAGGCTCAGAAGAAACAAGCTGGAGTTGGAGAGAAATAAATGCCATCACTGGACACCTCAAGTTCTGATAAAATGGCGGCCACATCTTCCACAAGGGCCTACCATGGGCAGCAAACCCAGACCTCACCTCACAGAATATCATTTTGGTTTTGTCTTTCTCTTGGCAGGTACAAAATATGAAGTATAAAGACAAGCGGTTAAAAATCATGAATGAGATTCTCAGTGGAATTAAGGTAAAGAAAACAAAAGGCCATGCTGACGAAATCCTCCAGGTGTAGTGTCTGAAACAGCGGCTGATTCGGCCGCTGAGTGGCATATGGCTCCTGATTCCTTTACCCACAAGTCTCCTGTTTCCTCTTCTAGCCCTACCCCTTCCAGATACTCTTGAACCTTGATTTCTATTTATTTACCCTAAATGATCTGTCTTTACATTTTACTATAGAAATGTTTCAAAATAAATTTCAATTTGTTTAACAATTTTAAAAATAACAAATTTTGATAATGCTTACCTCCCCCCACATACACTGTTTCCTTCTCTTATCCTCTCTATCCCTCCAAACCCTTTCTTCCAGACACACCCACCTCTGATTTCCTAACATATATATATATATATATATATATCACCAGCTGGGTTTAACTAGGGTTATTTGCATGTACATGAGTGTAGAGTTATTCACTCAATTATAGAAATTTACCACTGGAAGAAAAATGATTTCCCTCCACACAGCAGCCATTAACTACCAATAGCTCCTCAGTTAGAGTGAGGGCTGGGAGCCCCCCCTCTCCATCAATCTGCAGATAATGACAGTTGCTGGGAGTGCTGAGTACAGTGTCCATGCCCTGGGAGAAAGTGGTGCTTTGCAGCACCCCCCCATCCTCTGGCCCTTACATTGTTTCTGCTCCATCTTCTGTGACGTTCCCTGGGCCTTGGGCGTAGGAGGACGGTGACTTGGAATCACTGTTTAGGTCAAACACCACTCAGTCATCACTTATTCTTAGCACTCTGATTAATTGTGGGTGTCTGCAGTAACTGCTGCCTCCTGCAGTAACTGCTTCGATGACCAAGGCTGAGAGCTGTGTCAACTATGGGTGTGAATGTAAACACTTAGAAGGTGGCGGACAAGTCCACTTAGCGAAACAACAGTAGTAGGTCCCCCTAAAGCATTGAGCTCCACAGCCAGTGGGTTTTGTGTTTTGTTTTGTTTTGTTTTAAGACGATATTGGTTTTATTTTTACTTCTCTTTCCTCTCCCTTTGTCCCTCCTTCTCTCCCTCCCTCCATCCCCCCTCTTTCTGTGTGTGAGTGTGCAGGTAGGTGCCCATGGAGGCCAGTGGTGTCAGCCCCATTGAAACTGTTCCTGTTTCTTCAAGCTCAGATATGCTCTCACCTCCTTGATGCATCCTACTAGTGAAACCTTCCACAGAACCTTTTACCTGTTTCCTTATTGCCTAAGTGGAAACAACTCTCTAAAAAAAAGTGGAATGACTAATTCACCTCAAGTTGCTTAGGAATTTCCAAGCTTTAAGTTCTGTGACTTGGCAAATTTATTTGGACAGGCAATGTAGGACAGTTTGATTAAAAAAATATTAAGTGAAGCATGTATGTTAAATGCTTTACATTCAGCAGGTTATTAATAAATACAAGATACCTCTCTATAAACTAGATCTCCAGCCCCTATTAATGGTAACTTATCCTAAAAATAAGGGTGGACCATAAGTACCTGATGCCCTTTCAGGAAACTATGTAAATTTTGCTATTCTCTGACCCATTAGATCCTGAAATATTTTGCCTGGGAACCTTCATTCAGAGACCAAGTCTATGGCCTTCGGAAGAAAGAGCTCAAGAATTTGCTGAAATATGGCCAGCTGCAGACTGTGATGATATTCCTCTTACAATTAACCCCAATCCTGGTGAGGAGAAGAGGGGTATAGACTGAGGTCATGTTCTGAAAAGGAAAGTCTGTTCCTAATAGCTTCCAAGCATCTCTAGGCTTCAGGGAATTTATTCGTCTCCCTCAAACTCCTACAACTGCAACTCCAGTCCTTCCCTTTATGTGCCGCTGGGTGATCTGGTAGCCACTAGTGAGTTTTCAGACCGTTCATCATGAGCAAGGCCTCCGGAGTAACTTACTGAGGAGGACTTCTCTTCCTATGGGAGCAATGTGTGGATGGGGTGAAAGAGACAGAAGGTCCAGCTCTGCCCTGAGCAGTCCATTAATTGACTGTGTTACCTTGGGGGAGATATTTCTTCCTCTATTAGGATCGATTTTCTTGTGGGTAATCTGAAGAGATTAGGATAATCCCTAATATCCCTTCAACTCTGATATACAGTGCTCCTGAAACTTAGCACAAAGGTGTTTGGACCATTTGGTAGTGGGTTTCTCATGGCCTTGTTCTCCCTAGGTGTCTGTGATCACCTTTACCGTTTACGTCCTGGTGGACAGCAACAATATTTTGGATGCAGAGAAGGCTTTCACCTCCATCACCCTCTTCAACGTCCTTCGATTTCCTCTCACCATGCTCCCCATGGTGACCTCTTCAATACTCCAGGTACATGAGAGCTCCGCTGCTACCTGCTTAATTGCCTTGCAGTGCAGACGACTAGCCTACTGTATCTCATGTCTAGCACCTGCTGGTAATTGTTAAATTAAAGGTCCCTCTGGTTTCCGGAGACCAATGGGTGGATCTTAATAAAATCGTAAGCTCTTTGAGCCCCAGTTTAGATAATCATACTAACCTCATTCACTTCAGAGAGACAGGCTTGCAAAGGTATTTAGTGAGACTATTATGATTAGGCCTAATCAGAGCCATTTTTCCAGATTAGCTTCTCTCTTGTTTTCTAAAGCTCTTAAGGTCTTGACATAGTCTTACATAAATATGGCTCAAAAGAAAAGCCCCTGTCTTTGCATGAACCTATGTAATAATAAGTTTGGGAGTCTCAAGCTGACTTCAGTAAACCTTACATGGGCCTGAGGCAGTGTCTTATGTTCTGAAAACTGAACATAGACCTTAAGAGTAAGTCCAGAGAGCAGATGGGAGACGGCTGACAGGACTAGAATGTTGGGGTATGGAGCTGACCTGCATTCCTTTGAGAGGTACCAGGTTCAGACACCTCTGTCCCTAAGAAGGACTGAGTTCAAAGAGAAGGCCTTCTGCCTTAGAGGGAATAAAGAGAGAACAGCCCACTTGAGCAGTAAGGAAGCAGCACTCTCTTTTTAGGTATGGTTGATTGCATACACAGCAAAAGTAAGATTAGCAAAGGTGCTCACTCCCTTCATCTCCTTTTCACACATTAACAGCAAACCAAAAAGGGTCTGACAATGCCGTAACAGGGGCTGTAGGACATTCTGTTTCTGAGATGTTGATCCATGACGCAGCTGGATCAACAGTTAAGGTTCCATACTTCATCAGAGGCTGGATATCTATGAGAAGCAATCTCATTTCAGCTCTGCTAGAAGACAGGAAGGCAATGAAAAATGTCCAAGTGGGTCCTCCTTGAAGACTTCCCGAGTCCTTATATTCTAACAATGTTAGAGTACTCTGCCAGTACTTAGACAAGATGACTTTAGCCTTTGGCAGTACACCTACAGGGGCTACATAGTAGATCAGAAGTAGGTAGAAGTTAGGGTTCTGTCATAGAAGAAAGTAGTAAAACAGTTTCTGGAAATAAGAGCAAAGTTTGGAAATAGCTGTAAAATTGAGAGTTGCGTCTCTGAAAGCTGAAACACTGTCTTTAGATACTTCTGTCTAGTGTGGGCAGCTTGCAGGGCTGGAGTATGGTGGGATGACTTGCAGGGCTAAGGTGTGATGGGATGGCTTGCAGGGCTGAGGTGTGACTGAGTCTATAGCTGTGGTCAAGAGGTTTCCATTGTAGCAAAACCGTGTCTAATAACAAAGTGAAAATCATTCCCTGCTTGTGTCTTGTTACTGAATTCTTTCCCCCCTCACTTTTATTTCTGTAAGGCCAACTCTCTTTCTCTATTGTTTCTATTTATTCTTTGAGAATTTCATACAATAGATTTTGATATATTCTTTCCCCTCCCACAACTCCTCCCAGATTTCCTTCCATCTCCTTACCCGCCCAACTTCATGTTCTTCAAGTTTCTCTTTTAGAAACAAAACAACAACAACAAACAAACAAAAATTCAAACAACAACAACAAAAAATTGGGAGCAGTGGTGGCCCATACCTCTAGTCCCAGCATTTAGGAGGCAAAGGCAGGCAGATCTCTTGAGTTCAAGGCCAGGCTGATTTACACAGTGAGTTTTAAGACAGCCAGGACTGCACAGACAAACTCTATCTTGAAAAACCAAACCAAACAAAAATTATGGAGTCCAATTTGAGTTGGCTGAGTTATTGGATGTCTTGTTCTTAGACTCTCTTGTGTCCTTCTCTAGGCCAGTGTCTCTATAGATCGCATAGAGAAGTACTTGGGAGGAGATGACTTGGACACATCTTCCATTCACCATGTCGGCAATTTTGGTAAACAAATTTGGAAATTATTTCCAAAATTTATTCATAGTGCTGGCACCAGACTATTTGTAGGCAGGAGCTTAACCACAACAACTAATTTAAAGGAAGAACTAGGGAATCCATCTTAAATTGACATAGCAGTGCAAGCTGTGTTCTCGCCTAAAGAAAAGTGCTTAGCCAGATTGCTAAGCAAAACACAGTCAGCAATTCTGAGATAATCCGGGAGTCCCACAAGCAAGCAACCCAGGAAACAAAAGACAGGCTGGAGTGGGAATTGGGAAGGTAGCTTGGGGGTGAAAAACACGGAGGGCTTAAATAAGAAAGTAGAGCTCACACAGAGGACTAGGTAACAGGGGTAAGGGGGGTAGCGCAATTAGAGGTCCAAGGAAGCTGAGATCCCAAGTTTAGGTCCCAACAGGCAGGCCACTTCCATTTTCATCCTGGGCACTTCCATTGCCTCCTGCTGGTGTAAGCTCAGCGCCTAACAGGTGGTTTCAGGGGCTGGTAGTAGAGTCAGAGTCACATACGGACTGAGGAAACTCTGACGGCTACATGAGGACCTACATGTAACTAAAAGAGAGGGCTTTTTCTCCCCCTCTCACTAGATAAAGCTGTGCAGTTTTCAGAGGCCTCTTTTACGTGGGACCCGGACATGGACCCAGCAATCCGAGAGTGAGTTTGTCCCCTTGCTTTTCAGCTTTCTTAGGGCCCTCCTGCCCTACCTTGTTTTCAGAGGAATGTGTACAGTGGAACACCAGAAAAGACCATGTGTTGTATTCACTTGGATCCCGGTTTAGGTTACACCCTGGAGCATGAGCTGAGAGTGAAGGTCTGAGCCTTTCCCATGGTTATATTTTCATCTGCTGAGAGCCTATGTCTCTTCAGCTGAGAATGCTTGAAGCTATTTGTTTCCCCAGATAATAGGTGGAGAAAGTGCGGGTCCTGAACCTCAGAGTCTAGCTTTTCTCCCCAGACTAGACGATGGGAACTATTGCTATAGATTTCAATCTGTGTATGGCAGGAGACACCGGCAATCTTAGCACTCAGGAGGTTCAAGGAAAAGGATCATGAGTTTGAGACCAGTCTGGGCTATCTGGCAAGACTGTGTCTCCAAAAAAAAAAAAAAAAAAAAAAGCTACTGTCGATCACTCCTGTTCAGTGAGCGCACCACTGCATGAAGAGTGCCTGTTACGCCTTCCCTGTTTTGGACTCCAGATCCTCTGTTCACTCAGGCTCTGGATACCTTCCAATTCAGAACCTGTGTGTTCTTTTACCCCCAAGCAAAGAGCCCCATGAGTCCCCACCCGTCTCTCCTATTCCTATAGCCTTAGAATGCACTCTGGGGTCAGCACCAGGATTAGTCAGACTAAAGGCTATTATTGCCCTAAACATCACAGGCCAAAGCTTTCTTCTGCAGAGAGGAAACTGGACATGGTCCCCACTTCACTGCTGCAGCCCAGAGTAGGTTTGGAAAGGCTATGTGGCAGGTTCCTGATGTTCCTGTTGGAACTCAAATAGTCAAGCTGGCATCAAGAGTTCCTGGGATTCCAGCCCAGTGTAGACCCCTCCCCATCTAGAGAAATCAGACCTTCAGGGTTAGGTTAGGGCTAGGTAAGGGAATTTGCTCTCAGCAAGTATCACCCATAGAATAAAGAAATCCGAGAAACATTAAGTAGCAAGTTTAGTTTAGAAGCAAAATCCAACTCTTGGTCATTCGGAAGTGACCTTTTTAAATTGCCCAACCCAGCAGTGCCAGAGTTGAGACCTGAACCAAATCAGGTATCTAGGTCCCTGAGAGGGTGTGGTTCAACCATTGGTCCTAAGAGAACCCCCACCCCAGGAGAACTTTTACTGTTGCAAACGCACCTTTGACAGTGAGTGGTTTAATGGGTTTGAAAACTAGAATTTATTTTTCTGTATCTTAGAACTTAGCAATAATAAAGAAGCACTTTACATACATCCATGGTAAAGTTTCTAGTCTTGAGAGAGAAATGACCTAAAACAGATTTCTTGTAGAAGCCGGAGAAGTGACTTGAACTACCTCCCCATCCACTCATTTCCTTCAAAAGCGTTTCTCTCTTTCAGTGTGAGTCTGGACATAAAGCCAGGCCAATTGGTGGCTGTGGTGGGCACTGTAGGCTCTGGGAAATCATCTTTGATAGCTGCCATGCTGGGAGAAATGGAAACTGTCCATGGGCACATCACTATCAAGGTGAGTGGAAATGTAGCAGAGAAGACGTCTGACTCCAAATGTGGCCCTAGTGCTCTTTTCTCATGTGGGACAGTCCACAAGTGCATAGGTCCTAGAGGCATCTGGTATAATCGTGGACTGTAGATTCTCTGTCTCTCCCCAGTCTTGTACAATCAGACTCTGGACATAGACTCTAAGAATCTGAAGTTTTAATGACCTGTCCATGTGATTCCTATATGCATACCAAGGTATTGAAACTGTTGACTAGAGACATCTTCCTTAACAGTATAGACATTTCTGCTGTAAATATAATGTCTGTGTCTGGAACACACCCCCAACTGCAAAATTGTGCAATAAAAGTAAAAGAACCTAGGAAAAAGTTTTAATGGTTACTCAAAACTTAACTTTGTAGGACTGGAGCAGTTAAGCTCAGCAGTTAAGAGCACTTGCTGCTCTTGCAGGGGACTGTGTTAGATTCCCAGCACCCACAGGGTGGCTCACAACCATCTGTAACTCCAGTTCCAGGGAATCAAATATTCTCTTCTGGCTCTCTGGACAAAAGACATGCATGTGTTATACATGCACACATGCAGGCAAAACACTTAAACACATAAAATAAATCTTTAAACAGCAACAAACTTAACTTTGTGACCATAGTACCAACAATAAACAATAATAAAATCAGTAATGAGTATAAAATCACTGGCATTTTTAGCTAACATCATAATTACCCTTGAGCAGGGCTGGAGAGATGGCTCAGAGGTTAAGAGCACTGACTGCTCTTCCAGAGGTCCTGAGTTCAATTCCCAGCAACAACATGGTAGCTCACAACCATCCGTTATGAGATCTGGTGCTCTCTTCTGGTGTGCAGATATACATGGGAACAGAATGTTGTATACATAATAAATAAATAAAATCTTTAAAAAAAAAATTACTCTTGAGCAATCACCGTCCTCTGTCTTCAGTGATGGGAACCAAACCTTATACAGACAAGGTGAATGCTCCACATCTTCGTATCCCAACTGTCTCTTTGCTTCAGTTGCCACATGTGTGTGCATATGTGTGCATGTGTGTACATGTGTGTACTTGTGCCACAGTGTGCATGTCAAGGTCAGAAGATAACCTCAGATGTCTCTGTTGTTTATTACTGTGCATACCAGGTTAGCTGACCCACAAGCCTCCAGAAGGGACTCTACTGTCTCTGCCTCCCAGGTCCCCTTAGGAGCACTGATATCACAGATACATACTACGGTGTCCAGCGGTTCATGGGCTCTTGGGATTAACCGTCTCCATCATCCCCTTTTCTTGCTTTTCAGTTTGAGATAGGTTGTAGCCTGTCCCCGTGTGCAGCCGCAGTAGGCCTTGCATTTGTGATCAACTGCCTCAGCCCCGAGTAGCTTTTATTACAGGCTTGTGTCACAGTGCCCAGCTCACCTCCTTCTTTGAGAGCTACATCTTTAAATACATTTCCTCAAATACCATATTAAGTATGTTTGAAAACATTTCTTCTTCCACAGGACTCTGAGACTACTCCCCTATTTATCAATCTCCAGTGAACCAATATACATTTAAAAAAAAAAACAAAACAAAACATGCACTATAGCAGAGACAGCTCCAGATTTAACTTTGTCTCCTAATTCCTTTTAGAAGACTTTTTATTGCCAGCTCACAACTCAGTTATATCTCAAACACAGGGATTGCTTAATCTCTATCCCTTTGGTATGTTAATTTTAGCCACTTGGGTTTTTCTTCCTAGGGTGTCGTCTATGCCATTTGAAAGTGTTAGCATTGTATTAGCTCTAATACAGCTCTAATCAAGTCATTGGATTTGACTAAATCCCTGTTCTTTTTTTACATTGCTTGTACATTGCTTCTGATTTTCAGAATCAAGGGAAAAAGATGATGGTCTAAAAAGGTGTGCAGGGAAGAGGCTGGTTTGATGGCAAAGCATTGGGTCTTCCTGGTCAGCACATTAATAAACACCAGATGCTTAGGGCCCCTGATTGATATTCAGCTCTTCAAACCTAAGCTCTGCTTGTTCCTTGCCACTCTTGGCTCCAGCCTCCATTTCTGTAAGTGTGATGATGGCCTGATTTGATCCTTTCCCATTTAGGGCACCACTGCCTATGTCCCTCAGCAGTCCTGGATTCAGAACGGGACCATCAAAGACAACATCATTTTTGGATCAGAATTCAATGAAAACAAATACCAGCAAGTTCTTGAAGCTTGTGCTCTCCTCCCAGACTTGGAAATATTGCCTGGAGGAGATATGGCTGAGATTGGAGAGAAGGTACTTGGGGCAAGGAACCTTGAAGGGTACAGAAATAATTGAAGAAAAACAGCAAGGATTGTAGTGAAAAACTGTGTTGATAAATCATGACAGTCACAAACACACAAAACACGTTTGTATGACAGCATGCATATAAATTACTCCATTTTTTTGTTTTTGGGATTTCTTTTTTTGAGTCATGATCTAACTATGTAGCCTTGACTGATCTGAAGCTTGCTGTGTACTTCAAGCTGGCCTCAAACTCACAGAGATCCACTTGTCTCTGCTACCTAGGTCCTAGGATTAAGGCCTGCACTACCAGAATTGGCCTCAAATGTTTTACACTTTGTCCCTAAAAGTAAATACAAGAACTGATAATCTGAATCAAAGGAAATAAGGCAAAGGAACCAAGAGGCTAAGTTTATTATAATGCCCCAGAGTTGACTTGTGCCATTAAGTATCTTTAATAAAAAATTTATTTTAGCCGGGTGTGGTAGCACATGCCATTAGTCTCAGTACTTGGGAAGCAGAGGTAGGTAAATTTCTGAGTTTGGGGCCAGCCTGACCAATAGAACAAGTCCTAGACAGCTGGGGCTACATAGAAAAACCCTGTCTAGAAAAACAATAACAGCAAAAAAGATTTATTTAAAAAAAGAAAAAAAATTGATTTGAATAACTATATTATAGCCATTGGATAGATATAGCATTATTTAGAAAATTTTGATTACTACATGTTTAAGATATTTTTATCCTTTTTCCCTTTTAAAAAAAAATGAACATAACCATCCTCTGGGGGCAAGGAACTTGAGACACTAGGCGATGAGTGAAAACACAGCTCTAGAGTTAGAGTTCCTTTAAGTCAGGATCCATTGATTGAGGGACAGAGACTCTGCGTCTGTGTCAGCTCTCCCTTGTCAGAGTGGAAAGTGTCAAAAATATTCAGTCAGTAAGCTGCATGGCAGAAAACGGTTAAGTTGGGCATGACTAAGTATTTGGGCTAATGTTATTTCTTTGAATAGAAATGACTTGTTTGTATGAAGAAACATGGCATTTGAAAGCCCTTAACACCTTATGGAGGCAAATATTTACCTTTTCCCCTCCTTATCAGACTGCAAAGTGGGGCCTAGGGCATGTTGCTTAATAGAAATTACTTTCTTCTTCAGGGTATAAATCTCAGCGGCGGTCAGAAGCAGCGAGTCAGCCTGGCCAGAGCTACCTATCAAGACTCAGACATCTATATTCTAGACGACCCCCTGTCGGCTGTGGATGCTCATGTTGGGAAGCACATCTTCAATAAGGTCATAGGCCCCAATGGCCTGTTGAATGGCAAGGTGAGGAGTTCAATGATGAAGGCAGAAGGACGGGAGCTTGGGGGTGTTGTCATGCACATCTCTCAGAACAGTATTGTCCCGAAGAAGCTTTTCTTATTTATCTTCTTCCTGTCAGACTGGTCTCTTCAAGTGTGTCCTTGAAGGCTCCCATCATGAAGTCATGGTCTATACTGAAATTGGCTAATTAGAGGCTTACTCTGTTGCTTTGATATTGAGTCTCTTAGGATAATTGGGGAAAAATTTAGACTTTTTTTTTTTTTTTTTTTTTTTTTTTTTTTTTTTGTGTGTGTGTGTGTGTGTGTGTGTGTGTGTATCCATAAAACCAAAGAAATATATATCTTTGTTCATCTGTTGATAAAAGCATTTTCCTTAGCAACAGGCAGGGATATGCTAACTGTATTTAGCTTGTTTCCTTCAAGACTTTTTGAATGCTGCTAGCCAGAAGATGACAGAGTTGATGGGGCAACCTGCTGTTCTTTTGAGGACCTTTGCCTCTGTCTTAGTTCAATGGGTCTGCAGAAATTCACTCTTCCTCCTCTTCGTAGTCTTGCCTGCTGTCTTTAGGGCCTCCTTGATTCCATTCACTCATTAACTGACTTCTATTCTATTGCAAGTTTGTTGAAAAAACAGAGAAGTGCTTCAGTAGTTGGCACAAACTACAGCAGAAATCTCGGAGGGATACCCATGTCTTACCAAGGAGCTTGGGAAAGGAACCAAGGATTTGCTCTGAGTGGAGACAAAAGGGATGAGTATCCCCTAGATATCCCAGTTAGGAAGAGTCTACATGCTGCTGGACTGTGGGGTAGAGGGCAAATACAGTAGGCTCAGGTTATCTCTCAGAAGCCCATACATTGTAATTCTGCTTCACTATTGATTGATCAGTCTCTCTGTGAGTGGAGTTCCTGTGCCAGTAACTGTCTTAGTTAGGGTTCCTATTGCTATGAAGAGACATCACAACCACAACAACTCTTATAAAGGAAAACATTTAATTAGGGTGGCTCACCTACAGTTCAAAGGCTCAGTCCTTGTCATCATGATGGGACCTGGCAGTGTGCGGGCAGACATCCAGTGCTAGAGAAGCAGCTGAGAGTTGCACACTTGCCAGCAATAGGAAGGGGTCCCTGTCGCACACTGAGCAAAGCTTGAACACATCTGAGACCTCAGAGCCCACACTCACAGTGACCCACTTCCTCCAACAAGACCACACCTGTCTACTCCAACAAAGCCACACCTCCCAAGAGTGCCACCCCCTTTGGGGGCCATTTTCTCTCAAACCATAGTAATCAATATAGGAATACAAGGTGTGTCGAGTCTCTAATGCCACGAAGGCCTGCATAGAAGTAAGGTTTCTTCTCACACAGTATCCCTAACTTACTGAATGATCTGGGCAGTTCTTTTTTTTTTTTTTATACAGTTGATTAGCTGGTAAGTGACAGTTTAGTAAGTGAAAGGAGACAGTCAACCAGTTATCTTTCTGTAAGGATAGGCGTCGGTCCTAGGGAGTCTCTAGCTCAGTCTTGTGAATCAAGGACATGGAGGAGAGCACGTGTCAGGCAAACCTCGTCGACACCGTAGGGAAATGACTGTGATGAGATCCATGACTCTCGGGGTCTCAGTTCACACGCACGGTAATGTTTGAAGATGGAAAGTAGAATGAGTCGTGTAGCTGGGGCTGCACTGTGAGGCAAAGCCCCAATGTGAATTGACACGTCTACTTTTCTCTTTTTCGAGCAATCCGGGGACGATGGTGGGCATGGAATAATCAGAGCCATTTAATACCTATTTTTACAGACCCGAATCTTGGTTACGCATAGCATTCACTTCCTTCCCCAAGTGGATGAGATTATAGTTCTGGGGAATGGCACCGTTTTAGAGAAAGGATCCTATCAGAATCTGCTGAGCAAGAAAGGAGTGTTTGCTAAGAATCTGAAGACATTCGTGAAGCATTCAGGACCAGAAGGAGAGGCCACAGGTATGTGAGCAGGGTTGGAACAGGACAGAACTTGGGGTCCTAGTGGGATAGAAAACCAGTATCTATATCCTAAACTATTTAGTATCCAGTGAACTACAGCTGGAGCTGAATTACTCAGAGATCCGAACTCCATTCTTCTGTGTTCTGTGTCTCTGTAAAGAAAGACAGCAATTGAAACTCTGTGTCTGGGCCAAGTAAGTAGTAGTTTTACTCCGCTAGCTCTTGCAATCAACAGACACTTCAGAGTGTGCAATGGAATGTTTGAGGGAGTAGTCCCTATGAGAAGAAAAGCAGTGGTAGAAGAGACCCACTTGTAGGGATGCCAGACTTCTGTTTACTCAAGTTATACATCCTCCCCCAATTGCTTCACAGCCGTTAAATCCTGGATACCAGCCTTCACAGGATGGTTATGTGTTTATAGTCCTTAGCAAAGGAATATTGACTGGTGCATTAAAAATAACTGTATGTTTGAACCAGGAAAAAAATCAAGCAATTGCATAGTCTTATAGACTATCATAGAAACAATTCCCACTACCACTGGGCTCATGATTAGCCATGGTTAGCATCTAAGCCCTGTTTACTGTGACTCTTCCCAAAGATCAGGCACCGAATCAGGCAGTGGTCACAAATAAGAGGTCAGGGTTGAGAAAGAGAGATATGAAAAAGTATTCCAGAAATTAGGCCTGCTGGTAAATATTGAGAGGCCATTTCTGAGCATTATGTAAGCCTCTGAGCATACCATGTTATTTTGTTGGTTCTGGGATTGGAATTTAATTGGAATGAGAGGAGAAAAAGGTGAGTTGTCTTGATATTGACTCTGTGTATTAAATTCCTATAGGATGTGTAGTAAAGCACTGTAAACTGGATTGTTTAAACACACACATACATAGACATATAAATAATATATATCCTTCTTTAGCACCTTGAGAAGGAACACAGTCTACTATCACCTTTATCATGTCTGTATAGTTTCTAGACATGTAGACAATAAATTTGCTTATAAATATAAATTATAGTATACTTATATCATTCTCTCCTTCCCTTTCTCCCCTCCAGCCCTCTATGCACCCCTGTCTTAGTTAGGTTTCTGTTGCTGTGAAGAGACACCATGACCATGGCAACTCTTATAAGGGAGAGCATTTAGTGGGGTGGCTTACATTCTCGGAGGTTTAGTCAAGTGTCATCATGTTGGGATATGGTAGTGTACAGGCAGGCATGGTGCTGGAGGAGGAGCTGAGAGTTCTCACATCTTGACTTGACTTGCAGACATCAAGATGTGGTCTGACTCACTCGGTGTAGCTTGAGCATAGGAGTCCTCAAAGGCTAACCCCACAGTGACACACTTCCTCCAGCAAGGCCACACCCACTCCAATAAGAGACCACACCTTCCGTTAGTGTCACTCCCTTTGGAGTCTATTTTCTTTCAAACCATCTCAACCCCCTTTGCTTTCTTTTAAATCCCTGACCTCTTTTTAATTTTTGATGTATATATTCTCCTAAATACATAAATAAAACCTGTTTGGCCTATATAATATACCTGTTTATCTAGAATCTCATGTCTGACCACTTAGTATTAGATAATCAATTGGGGAGCTCTTTCCAGTGGAAGAGCATTTCTCCTAGGTGCCTATAGTTATTTGTCTAGAGTTGAGGTCCCATGGGCTTTCCTTCTTCCATGTTACCATGTCCATTGGTGTTGTCATAGTTCAGGTCTTGTGTAGGCAGCCATGCACATGAGACTTCATGGGTGTTCTTGTTCCTCTGGATCTTGAAAACCTTCTACTCCTTCTTCTGCAATGATCCTTGAGCCTTAGTTTTAGGAGTTGTGGTATAGATGTCTCAGTGGGAATGGGCACCATACAAGCTTTTGTTCTCTACATTTTGATAGGTTGTGGTTTTCCATCTGTTACAAAGAAAAATTTCTTTGATAAGGGGCAAGAATTACACTTATCTGTGGGTATAAAAGATAAATACTTAAAATACAGTTAGAGATTATGCTGATTTAGTAAAATTGTGGCTGTAGGGTCTCCTGAAAGATACATGACTTCACTAGGCCCAGATGAATAGGTGTCCAGTACCAGGCACAATTTCCATCTTGTTGAGTGGGCCTTAATGCCAATAAGAGAGCTGTTGGTTACTGCCAAAGCTATAGAAGCCACTGTTGAACCCTTAGGGTTATCATGCTATGCTGGTCATTATTGTATCTTATATTTATCATAGCTGGGTAGGATTATTCCCTTCCTTGGAAGCTCGCATGGTGCCTTCTGGTACCATGTAAGCCAGTCTTCAGGCAGTTACCCTGGGATGGGGATTTTATAGGTAGTGCTAAACCCATTTGTCTCCTTAACTGGCAGCTTGGCCACTAGTTTTCACATCTATCATGATTCCTGTGATTGTTTTACGAGCTGTATCAGCTGAGAGGGAGAGCTCGAAATGGGGCACATTAAAGTACAGCAAGGTTTTCAATTACCAAGAGCCAGTCATTTAAAAAGAAGATTTTTGATTTTGGTTGATTTCAGTCTTGAGAAGACTTGTATTTGGCAAACCCTCCCCACTCCCCCACCCCAGCTTTCTCATTGCCATAGGGAGCAGATTTCTAGAGATCTTTGCTTCACCGTTTCCACTAGTGCCCATATTATATTTTACACCTTATTCCATTTCATTTTCAAGTGCTTTTGTAAGTCTTTAAGTTAATAAAAGTATTTGAATTATTTGAACTTTAAGATTAGTGTTTATAATTATTAATACTCTCTTTAGTTGGTTCTGTGGGGGGTGACTGCTGCTTATTTCTGTCTCTCTAAAAAGGTTTTTCTTCTCCAAGGAAGCTTAGAAAGCTCTGGAGGTTTTCTTCTCCTTTTGACCATTCTCTTCTCGTGGATTATTAACCCATCCCTTCTTTATCCTAGCATTTTCAATGAGAATATATGCTAATAACTGGTATTTATTGGGTTATATATTCCAACCTGTGTATACATCTGAACTCCCTTGATCAACAAGATACAGGAGGGCTTTTCTCTTCTTATTTATAATGTTTTGAGTCCTGTGTTCTTCCCTAATTTCTAACATGTCTCCTTAGTCAATGATGACAGTGAGGAAGATGATGATGACTGTGGGCTGATACCAACTGTGGAGGAAATCCCCGAGGATGCAGCTTCTTTGACCATGAAAAGAGAAAATAGCCTTCGCCGAACACTGAGCCGCAGGTAGCCATGTATTCAGTTGGCAGCTCTTATTGCTTCTTTAGTACAACTTGATCTTTCTTTTTTCTGCGTGGATCTCTCCTCTACACAGAATCTATCTCATGAACACTCTCAGTGCTTTGTTTCCTTGGATGGGGGAAGGGCTGGGACTGTAGCAATATACTGGCTCTCGGCTCTGAATGCACTTTGATGCCAGCAGAGTGATCGTGACACCTGCTTGTAAGATCCTTGGGACGGTTTCCACATGCTCAGGTGTTTTCCTTTCTCTGCCTCAGCTCCAGGTCCAGCGGCAGGCACGTGAAGTCCCTCAAGGACTCCTTGAGAGTTAAGAATGCCAATGCTTTGAAGGAGAAGGAAGAGCTGGTGAAAGGACAAAAACTAATTAAGAAGGAATTTGTGGAAACTGGGAAGGTAAACACCACACGCAGAAAGTACTGCTTGAGGCCAAATAAGGCTTGGAATGTGAAAAAAGTTACAAGTTAGTTGAAACTTAAACATGTATCTACTGGGCCACATGTTCTACCCCTTTGCAAATCTTCAAATTCATTATTTAAATAAAAACAGAAACAGACTTTTTCATGTCTCAGGCTTGGAGAGATGGCTCAGTGGTTAAGAGCGTTGGCTGCTCTTCCAAAGCTCCTGAGTTCAATTCCCAGCCCCCACATGGCAGCTCACAATCCAACCCTCCCCTGGTGTGCCAGATACATCCAGATAAAGCACTTGTATACATAAAGAATAAATCTTTAGAAAAGAAAAAAGGAATGAAGGATGAGTGTTTGATTCTATTCTGATGTGTGGAGAACAACGAAATTGCTTTGAAGTGCAATTGTAGGCACCAGGAAGCACTAATATATTAGAGCCAGAGCACGCAATTCAAATTAATGAAACTTAAAACCACAAATTCCAAGGTCTTAGTAAATGCTGGCCTCTCCCACCCTGTCTTATGTATTTTGTTCATTACATTTAAATGCTTATTAATAACCTGGTGGCTACTTACCTTGCATTGTACTTAGCATTGACATATTATGCTGGCCAAGTGCGGGAGTGGTGAGCACGGACTATTAAATTTTGTCTCCCACTTTTCTAGGGGATGCCACCTCTTGACTTAGTTACCCAAAAAGTCAGAACCAAAAGCAACTTGGAGAGAAAGGGTTTGTTTTGTCTTACACTTCCAGGTAACAGTCCATCTCTGAGGGAAGTGAAGGCAGAAACTCAAGCAGGGCCGGAATCTAGAGGCGGGAGCTCAAGTAGAAGGCATGGAGGAAGGTTGCTGACTGACTGGCTTGTGCTCTATGGCTTGCTCAGCTGCCTTCTTATAGCGCACAGCACTACCATCCCAGGGGCAGTGACCTGAGCCCTCCACCTCAATCGTCAACCAAAAACTATACCCCAAGTTTCTTTGCAGGCCAGTCTGGAGGGGCATTTCCTCAATTGGGGTTCCCTGTTCCAGAATGATTCTAGCTTATGCCAAATTGTCAAAAAACTAGCCAGCACAGTCCTTCTTATGGTTAGTTTCCTACAGTTTCTTACCCAAAGCTCTTATGGGTATTGTTGACGATGTCTTTGCAGGTAAAGTTCTCCATCTACCTGAAATATCTACAGTCAGTAGGATGGTGGTCAATAGCCTTTGTCATCTTTTCCTATGGATTGAATTCTGTTGCCTTTATTGGATCTAACCTCTGGCTGAGTGCTTGGACCAGCGACTCTCAAAACTTCAATAGCACCAACTATCCAACTTCTCAGAGGGACATGAGAATTGGAGTCTTTGGAGCTCTGGGATTGGCACAGGGTATGTCTGATGGCCGGGGGGCACATCTTCATGGACCTTGTACATTCCCTACAACTCAGGAAATAATTTGCTATTATGTCCGAGGAGTCTGTGACATGGTGTTGACAACATTGGGTCTATTTCTAGGTGTCTTTGTGTTTATTGCAAGTATCTGGAGTGTATATGCTTGCAACTATTCATCAAAAACTTTGCACAAGCAACTGCTAACCAACATCCTTCGAGCACCCATGAGTTTTTTTGACACAACTCCCACAGGCCGGATTGTGAACAGATTTTCTGGTGTAAGTATCCCAACATACTGGGGTACTGAAATGCTGAGGGTCTTTCTAATTTTGATGAGAGAGAGTCCTCACCCAACCCAACGCTACAGGTTGGGTTCTTTGTCTACTTAGCATGCAAATATTTCTGGGACACTTCCTGTGAGGGCTCAAGAATACTAAGGGTGACCATCTCTGGCCTTTCAGTAGCTCACCATCAAAGAGAAGGAAGATTAGGATATGATTAAAAACAGAATAGCATGTACAAAGGTGGTCTGAGGGAAGAAAGGAATGACAAAAATGAGTGCTAGTTCAAGCTGGATGGCAAAGCTGGGAAATGTCAGAAAGTTGAGTTAAATGACTACAGTAAGAGAAACAGTGAGTGGATTAAATGACAAAGGCCTAAGGAACAAAAAAGTCACACATTCCAGGTGGGAACCGGGAAGAAGAGCAATGTCTTAGCAATCCACTCATTCACCATCTCTCTGGCTTGCACCCCTAGGATATTTCTACTGTGGATGACATACTCCCCCAGACTCTGCGGAGCTGGCTCATGTGCTTCTTTGGCATAATTAGCACTCTTGTTATGATCTGCATGGCCACGCCAATCTTCGCTGTCATCATCATTCCTCTTGCCATTATCTATGTGTCTGTTCAGGTAAGTTTGGGTATGGCTAGGTCTCCCTTCCTCTCTGAGGCTCTTCCTTTGTGTTTACTGTTGGTCACTCCTCTCTAGCATCCAGGAAAGCACGGGGACCATCCAAAGCTCAACTGTCACTATCAGTTAGTGTGGGGGGTCATAGCATATGTCACCCTATGCTGTACTCCAGAGAGCTTAAGTAGGAGACATGTGCTTGGACTCAAGACTGATTTGAGGGATGGGAATATAGCAGGGAGGCAGAGCACTTGCCAGCACTGAGAGGGAAGAGGGAGGGAAAGAGTGAGAGGGGATGGGATGGGGAGGGGGAGGGAGAAAGAGAGAGAGATTACTTGGTAAATTTTCACAGTTCCATAAGATCCGCTGTCTTAGGGTTCTATTGCTGCGATAAAGCACCATGACCAAAACAACTTGGGGAGGAAAGTTTCTTTCAGCTTACATTTCTCATGTCACATCTATCACACTGAGGGAAGTCAGGGCAGGCAATCAAACAGGGCAAGAATCTGGAGGGAGAAACTGAAGCAAGCAGTCCATGGAGGAATGCCTCCGGCTGGTTTGTTCCTTGTGGCTTTGTCTGCCTGCTTTCTTATACCATCCGGGACCCCCCGCCTAGGAGGGCCCCAGCCACAGTAGGTGGGCCCCTTCCACATCAATCATAAATCAAACAGGATGATCTATAAAGACATTGTCTCAATTAAGATTCCCCCTCCCCAGAGATGTCCAGGTTTGTGTCAAGTTGACAAACAACAGCCATCACAGCCCCACACGGGTTAGGTCATTTCAGGAAGATTGCGTGGGGTTGCTGCTCCCTTTGTCTTTGAAGGGCATAGGGCATGTGGATGTCCCTATGCAGGGGCTGGATCTCTTTTCACTTCGGGGTATTTCTAGTTTCATTGACATGTCTGTGGGTGTTTTACATTCAAGCTCAACCATTTTCCCAGAAGACTGAAATAAGTAGAAGGCTCCTCATGCCCCAAATGAAAAATTGATGAGAAAAAGGAAGCTATGAAGCGAGCGCTTCCTGCAAGTTGCCTTTATTCTTTAAAATAATTTTATTTGGTGTGGTGTGGTGTGTGTGTGTGTGTGTGTGTGTGTGTGTGTGTGTGTGTGTGTGTGCGCGCACGCGCGCGCGCACAGGCACATGTATGAAAGTCACATGGCAGCTTTGCAGAGTCATTTTTTTTTTCTTCCTTTTATGTGAGTTCTGGGAATCAAACTCTGGTTGTCAAATTTGCACAGTAAGAGCTTTTACCTGCTGAGCCATCTCACCAGCCCCCAGTGTCTTGTGATGAACTTAGGGGAACTCTGCAGTATGGCTCTGTGGCCTCCTATCCTGTCCTGTGGTAAAAGAGCACCTGTGCCTGGGTAGAGTTCTGCAGGTTCACTCCCATGTCCTCAACAGCCTTTTAACTATTCATAACAAATCAACAAGGAAGGCAGGATTAGATGAAGAACTCTGAGACATAGTATTTTGCACTCTGGCTCTCAACTGCCCAGTTTTCCCTTCAACAAGTTCTCACAGGTTCCATCAGCACCCCGAACCGATCCACTATGCCTTTCACCTAGAGGCATCTGCCTACATTCCCTTACACCCAGCCCAGTGCTTACACCCTCTACACTCTGCATACCTTCAGAGCTACCTTACCAGCACGCCTGGAGGCACGGTTTTGGTCACTCCACTTGTCAGTCTCCACTTTAATTCAAACTTCAGCATTCCCTACTATTTTTAAGAGCTGTTTATCTTATTTCATATGAACGTGTGTTTGCCTGTGTGTATGCATGTGCACCAGCCTCGTGTCTGGTGCCCACGGAACTGGAATTAGAGAGGGTTGTGAACCACCCTGTGGGTGCTGGGAACTGAACCCAGGACCTCTGCAAAAACAAGTTTTCTTACCTACTGAACCATCCTTGTCTACTCTATACACTCCTTGTCCCGGCATCTTTCACAAAATCTCTTGGTGACCATTTCTCTAGCCAGTAAAGAAACTTCTATCTGGATAACATATGAAGGTCTTAGGAAAGAGATGAAGCTGACGGCAAAGCTCCTTCTGAGGGTTACAAACTCAAATCTCGAAGGCTGCAATGTGGTCGCCTCAGTTTTATCTCCCTCTGTTCCCACCACTATAGTCTTCTTACTTTGTACCTCATCATTCTTGTAGCCAGACACACTATTTCAGGCCTCCTTCCCGTTCCTCGTGAGTCACAGCCATGAGTGACAAACGTTGGGGCATGGCCAGAGAAAAGAACGGAAGTACAATGCATGCTTTATGGGTCTGTGACTAGCTGACTCTGGGCTCTGGTATTCAGGTGTTTTATGTGGCTACTTCCCGACAACTGAGACGGCTGGACTCTGTCACCAGATCCCCAATCTATTCTCACTTCAGCGAGACTGTTTCCGGTTTGCCTGTTATCCGTGCCTTTGAGCACCAGCAGAGATTTCTATCGCGCAGCGAGGGGCTGATTGACACCAACCAGAAATGTGTCTTTTCCTGGATTACCTCCAACAGGTGAGGCCTCCCTTAAGTACTTACTCAAATGTATGTTTCGGGGTTCTGCATGTTTGACAGACATTTGACATAGGGGAGCAGGCATAGCCAGTGGTATAAAATTCATTCTGATCACGTGCACACACTGTAAGGAGAAAGGAGAAAGTATGAACTTTGGAGGTGGAGACAGGTTCGCCATCCCAGGTGAATTGCCTTGGCCTCTCTAAGAAAAAATTCAATTTTTTTTTCTTTCTCTGAGACAGGGTTTCTCTGTGTAGCTTTGAAGCCTGTCCTGATGGTGGTTTCTTTTGATTAGCATAAGGAAGCAGTGGCCTAGTGGATCCATATGTAGAGCAAAAAAGCTGCCACCACAGGACTGTCTTAGCATTCTTTTGAAGTGGAGAAAAACTGGGAGAAGAAACAAGTTAGGTCACAGACAGATAAACTGGGCTTTATAGGGAACTGAGGAATACATAGTTTAGCGTCATTCATAAAAGTTAACAACTCAAATAAAATATATTTTGCTAAATGTGTATCAATAATTCTATCAGGTATTACAATAAGGACCCAATGGGTTTACTCATAAGCCTTTCTCTCCTTCTTGGAAAGTCTCTAAGAAATCAAACCTCTGACCTCTCAGTGTTCCAAATAACTGACCACACTAGCCTGCCTTTAACATCTCAAGGGATTCTGAAAGCCACTAAAGAAGCTTGGCTCCCCCAAATCTTTCTCTTTCAATGGCATACCCAACTGCTTGTCGTGGTCTACTGATTCCTAGTCTGCTCAGGTGACCTTTTCATTTCTTGCCATCAATGTTTTTACTTTCAAATTCCAACTCTCCTCACCCCAACCTCTGCTTCTTTTGTCACCCTAAAAAGCATCCCATGCCTGTGTAGAATCTCAGGAAATCAGACAGGTATTGTTCAGCTCACCTAGCATTTGTATGCTCTTTGACTTTCCAGATACCCACAAATGTCATATGGCTTTCACAATAACTGGAAAACACCTTATAGTCTAGTCATTGAAAAACAAAAACAAGCTGGGTGGTGGCACCACAGGCCTTTAATCCCAGCACTCGGGAGGCAGAAGCAGGTGGATCTCTGCGAGTTCCAGGCCAGCCAGGTCTACACGGCAAGCTCCAAGCCAGCCAAAGGCTGCATAGTGAAACCCTGTCTCAAAGAAAAGAAGAAGTGTAGATGCTTAACTCATACATGGTCTTTGGATCAAAATCTCCTCCAAAATATCTGAGAGTATTTTAGATGAATTTGTGGGTTGTATTTTCAGCAGTTACCCTATTTAATTTTTATAACTTGGGACTTTGGAGAATATTGCTCTGTAGGATTCCTTTAGTTTAGAAGACACTTCTAGAACCTTTAAAATGCTACTTATTTTCCTCAAAAATCAATTTATTTCTAAATCAAATTGAGGTAGTTCCTAAGAGCAGAGTATACCAGCTCAACCCTCTAAGAATGTGTTACCAGCTCCCAACTTCCTGGTTTGGATGAGGGACGAGAGACTGATGATTTTTCTCTTTCTGGTTCTGTTGCTCTACAGGTGGCTTGCAATTCGTCTGGAGCTGGTTGGAAACTTGATTGTCTTCTGTTCAGCCTTGCTTCTGGTTATTTATAAAAATTCCTTGACTGGGGACACTGTGGGCTTTGTTCTATCCAATGCCCTCAATGTGAGTCTGAAGACTTGGCTAAGTCAATTAATCTTTTGTTGTTGTCTTGTTGTTGTTGTTGGTTGTTTTGTTTTGAAACAGGGTTTCTCTTTGTAGCCCTGGCTGTCTTGGAATTTACTATGTAGATCAGGCTGGCCTTGAGCTCACAGAGATCCATATGCCTCTGCCTCCTGAGTGCTAGATCTAAAAGCATGAGCCACCACTGCCCAGCAAGCCAATAATTCTTAAACTGACTCTGAAGTGTACTGAGGAGACCATGTCTTATTATTTTCTGATCCAAAAGGACTAGGAAGACTGGGTTCAAACCCTGGCTCTACGTCTTTCCCCACAAATACAATCCCTACCTCATTTAAGTAGGCACCAGTGCCACCGGGCAAAATGGGCATAACTGATTGTTCTTATGACTTAAAAAGGCACTTTATATGTTTCTACTTAATAGTTTCTTATCTTTTTGCCTTCTTCATTGGTTCTAGTCAACAGAGATTATATATTTCTTCTCCAGAATATAGGGGTAATCAGAAAATCCTTTGGACAAACAACTCCTGAGTTTGCTTTTTCTTATATCACAGAACAAGTAAAACAAATTATAATAAGGAATTTGACAGAAACATATAATGAAAGTGTGCTCTACATAGTGCTGTCTTCATTAGAAATTAATGAGGCTCATGATGGGGCACCCCAAAGGAGTGTTGTTCTCCAGAATCACTTGGTTCTCTGTGCCACTTCCCTTTATCCTCCAGGACAGTCAAGGCAGAGTCAGGACACCACTAGATTGAACTAAAATTAGTATCAGCCATTACATGTGGTTCAACCCATGCGAGGTTGTTACTCTTAGTCACCATAGTCCTAGCTTGTATTGTGTGCCTGCCTCTCTCTAACTACCATCCAATCCCCAAAACTCCTGTGCAGACGTGCAAACTCTGGATTCCTTTCCTGAACGAAGCTCCTATCTGAGTAACCGCTGTTTGGTAGGCTGGCCTGCACCATGACTAATGTTTTATTCATGCCTGGATACATTTGTGTGGTAGCAGGAACACATCCAGTTTGTTTGTGTAAAGGGGGCTATGGCCATCCTACCCTGATGGCCAAGAGTGAGTGAGATCAGAAATCTGTTCATGTTGGGTCTTTTCTCATAGTATCCCCCATTTGTAGAGGGCCATCTGCAACAATTCCACAAATAGCACTAGGTTTGCAGGCAGGAGACCTGAACTCTGGGACCACTTCACCAAGAGCTAGCATCTTCAACCCGAGCTTTAGCCCAGAACCATTCAAAGTTCATACTGCCCTTCAGGTGAGCATTCAGTTGCTACCCAACCAATCAGTGCACTCATCTTATTCTTGGCTAAGAAAATAAGAATTAAATAAGAATTGTCTTTTTCTACCATCACAATCCTGAACGGAAAGTAACCTCTCAGGTAACCTTGTGCCACGACTAATTGATGGAGCTGGTTTCTGAGCCTGAGGGTTTTTGTTTGTTTTTTTCATTGCTTGTGTGTGTGGTGTGCGTGTGTCTGTGCGTGTGCGTGTGCATGTGCGTGTGCACGTGCTATAATTTTTTTCCTCTACAGATCACACAAACCCTGAATTGGCTGGTGAGGATGACGTCAGAAGCAGAGACCAACATTGTGGCTGTTGAGAGAATAAATGAGTACATAAATGTGGAAAATGAGGTGAGAATTAGTGAAATTCAGGAGTAGGTCCATGGAAGTCTTTTCAGAGGGCATCTTCATTTTTAGAAACTATCTTGAGTGGGTTAATCGTGTTTTGTTTTTAAGATTTGTTGCACATGTTCTAGTAGGTCTTAATAATAAAAATCCGGAGTCAGATATTAGGGTGAAAGCTGAAAGGTGAGAGAAATAAAGGAGCCAGTTCTTATCTCTCCGGAATCCTCAGACCAAAGGGGCGATCCTGTCCCTCTGCATCCTCAGTGAATGGGCCCTGCTACCTTTCTGTCCTGTGACGGAGTCCCAAGACAACTGTTTGCTGAGTTGTTACTGTGCCCATCACTCCTCATTCTTTCCCCCTTGCTAGGCACCTTGGGTGACCGACAAGAGGCCTCCAGCAGATTGGCCCAGCAAAGGTGAGATCCGGTTTAACAACTATCAAGTTCGGTATCGGCCTGAGCTGGATCTGGTCCTGAAAGGGATCACTTGCCACATCAAGAGCACTGAGAAGGTGAGTGATCAAGCAGCTCTGGAGAGAGTTCTGGCTGTGTGGCCCTGCAAGCAGAGAATGTCTGGCACGGGAGAAGGACACAAGGTATCCATCATTTGGTGCAGGGAGAAAGTTAGGATACTTCCTGTAGTCTGGGAACACGTAAGGAATACAACCAGAGGGCTGGATCCTGCCTCCCTGCCAGCCCACCCTGTGAGGGTACAATGTGTGGTGAGGGATTCAGGAAAGAAACTGGCCTGGAAGCCGAGCTATTGAGAGTAATAGTGAAGATGGCTGTCCCTAAGAAGGGAATTACCTTGTGTTTCTCTTGGTCTGTGAAGCTGAGTGCCCTCCCACAGAGCTCCAGTTCTCCAAGGTTTGGAGTCTAAGGAGACAAACCAACCCATCAGTCAACCAATCTAGATAAGGAGGCTGGGGACCAGATTTCTCATCTGGTGGCAAGCCTTTTCTTCTTTCTACTAAAAAACAAACCAAACCAACCAACCAACAAACAAACAAAAAACAACTTAGCCCTCCCGCCAGCACATACACTAAAACTAAAAGAGAAGATTAGCGCAGCCTCTAGCGAGGACGCGAAACCTGTGACGAGTTCTGTCGTTTTGAGCTAAGGGATGCTGAGAGTGGGCTGTCCCGTACCAAATGATCATCTCTGACAACTTACACACAAGTGACATCATACAGTCTGAGCAGGTTATATCTGGGATATATGTGTGTGCGTATATATCCATATGTATACACGTATGCATACATGCATGTAACAATAATTAATGAAAAAAGGCAATGGATTTGGAAATGAGCAAGGAATGGTAATGGGAGGGCTTGGAGGGAGGCAAGGAAAAAGAAAATGTAACTATAATTTCAAAAAAAATGAAGAAGTAATAAAAATTTAAATTAGTACATTTTTATTTATGTGGTAAGTGTGCATATGCATGTTCATATGTGAAGATCAGAGGGCAACTTGCTCCATCATGTGGCTCCCGGGATTGAACTCAGGTCATCTGGCTTAGCAGCAATCGCCTTTACCCACTGAGTCACCCCAAAGGGTCCTTTCCCTCTACTTCTTAAAAAAAATTAAAAACGAATAAATCTGTAATTGCCCAGATTAATTGTAATGGGGGGGAGGGGGCTTGCCCCTTTCCACCAGTCCCTGTTTCAGCACACAACAACGGAGGAGGGAGTGTGGGAGAGCCACTTTTTTCTGACATCTGGGAAATTTTTTCTCTCACCAAGACTCAAAGCCACTTTATATGTTTGGCATAAGGTATTTTTGTTTTGTTTTGTTTTTTGTCACCTGTGCCTTTCACATTGTGACTATACAGGGTAATTTTTTTTTCTTTAAGCATTGCATGTGAACTAGTTGTAAATTGACACTATTCACAGGTGGGCGTGGTGGGCAGGACCGGAGCTGGGAAGTCGTCGCTCACAAACTGCCTCTTCAGAATCTTAGAGTCCGCGGGTGGCCAGATCATCATTGACGGGGTCGATATTGCTTCCGTTGGACTGCACGACCTTCGAGGGAAACTGACCATCATCCCCCAGGTCAGCCCTAGACAACTCCTGCAGTTGTATTAGTTACTCTTCTTGTCATTGTACCTGACAAGAAGTGACTTACGGGACGAAAGGTGATTTGGGCTCATAGTTTGAGAAGAGACACGGTCCATCGTGGTGGGAAGGAGGGCAACACACGTGTACACTGGCTCATGGCATCTGCACTCACCGAGCAGAGATGAGTGCTGCCTGGCGCTCAGCTATGTTTTTCTTTTCTTCTCAGTTTAAGACCCCACCTCGTAGAATAGTGTGGCCGGTGCTTAAGGTGTCTTCCCATGTCAATTTAGATACTCCCTCCCAAAGACACCCAGGGGTCTGTCTTCTAGATGGTTCTAGACGCTGTCAAGTTGTCTACCAATGTTCACTTTCAAGCCAGGATTGCAGCCTAGTTCCCCAGACACTGCTTCTAGAAGAGTTCTGAATTTTGGGTGTAATTTGTGGCTGCTGGAATTGACCGGTAGGTGGCAGCAACACAACGGCAGTCAAATAGAGCAGATGAGTATCTGGCGGTTCTGTAGCCCATCATGGTTTGCTGAGACCTTTGTAATTAGCGGTAGCAATTTTGCTGCTGAAGCTTGAAGCCATTAAGCTTTATATTCCCCATTTGATGTGGCTAAAAGATAGAGGAGGGAATTTGCTGCAGGTTTTTGCCAGCAAGCGGAACATTTATTGTATCAGCAAGAAAGACCTCCCTTTGGCTTGCTCTATGGACCCTACAAAGTAAGGATTGCCTTGGAGGCCTTTCCACTCTCGGGAGGAATAGAACCATTGCTGCTCTCTGCACTGTGGCCAAGTGCCTGCGGAGGATTTGTCTGTCTAATGTCTGACGTGTGTCTTCAGACGTCCTCTTCCATCATTCTCCCCCTTACTCCATTGGGACAGGGTCTTCCATGGAACCTAGAGCTTGCTGTTTGGGGTTTTGTTGTTATTTGAAGATTTCTTTATCTTTGTGTTATGAACATTTTGCCTGTATGTATGTAAGTGTGCTGCATGTGGACCTGCTTCTCACAGAGACCAGAAGAGTCAAGGACAGTTGTGAGCTGTCATATGGGTCCTGGAACTGCATACAGGCCCTCTGCAAAAGCATCAGTGCTTGGACCGCAGAGCCACCTCTCCAGCCTCTGGGGATCATTGTTTTTTGCTAGGCCAGTGGTCAGTAACTCCAGATTTCCTCTAGTATCTGCTCTGAGCATAAGGCTCGAGGGGCCACTCAACAACTTTCTATTGGATGCTGGGACACAAACTTAGGTCGTTCCTCATGCTTGTGCATGAGACACCTCTTCAGCCCCCATGTCGTCTTAATTTGGTACACTCTATTCTTTGGCCTCCTCAAAATGTAAGATCTTCTTGGATGACTACACCGTCTCTTCTTCTATCTTCCTAGTCTCTCTCTAAGCCAGGAGATTTTGTTGCAGGCAAGGGATACTCCTTTCATCTCCTAAAGAGATACAGCAGCAAATCTAGATGGCTACAGAGAGGTCCCAGAAGGGAACAAAGCAGGCGCTAACCAAGGATCCCTTTCAGCCCTGTGCTTAGCTCCCCAGATTCGGATACTCGGGCCTTCAAGGGTTGTAGAGGAGCTTGGTCATGAACCAGCTTCCTGCCTAGAGTTCATCTCAGACCACTTCTTCTGGCCACAGAGGATGACTGAACCCTCAGCTGACGTCAGCCCTAACATTTCCCCATTCTCTGACTTGCAGGACCCCATCCTGTTCTCTGGGAGCCTGAGGATGAATCTAGACCCTTTCAACAAATACTCGGATGAGGAGGTTTGGAAGGCCCTGGAACTGGCTCATCTCAAATCCTTTGTGGATGGCTTGCAACTCGGGTTGTACCATGAAGTGACAGAGGGTGGTGACAACCTGAGGTAATGTCTTGTAACCTACTTCTTCCACAGTGACAGGGTGTGAGGGAACTGTTCTTTGTATTCCCGTATTAGATATGGTCTGGCATTGTGGGATTTACACTGTATAGGTCTGATTCCTAATGTGTAAAAATATGATAAAAAAACAGATGTAAAAATGCTTAGAAACACTTGGAAACCGTTGTTATTAAATGTGCCTTTCATGTGACATTGTAACATGAGCTTACAAAGGCCACTATGGTGGAGAATCCTAGAATGCAGGCTCAGCAGAGTCTCAGCAGCAATAGCCAGCTTCCTGGTCCAACCAGAGTCTGATCTCTTTGTTGATACATAGACAGGACATGGGGACATGGAGAGCCCCACAGGCTATAAAAGACATCCCAGTTTGAGAACCACCGATCTAAATGGCATGTGGATGAGATTTACCACCCAAAAAGCCCTTGGGCACTGCAGAAACACCTAAAATTTATAGACGACTCTGAATTTATAGTTCTTACTTTAAAATATATTTTTTACTATCCTGACCCTTCACTTCCAGTCTTCACTATATGTTCATTAATGCATGGTTCTGGCATTCTCCCTATTCAACCCTTGGGCAAAGCTCACGGGACACTCCTTCTTCTGACCCAGGTGCCTCAGTGGTGGAAGTGGGGACACAGACCATAGCAGTTAAAGCACAGGGTTGGGAAACTTAGTAGCTCAAACAATGGGCTGGAAGCTCTGGGTGAACCTAGGAGCTTCATAAGAACTCAGAATCCTAGACCCTATGCCTACTAATCTGGACCTACATTAGGTGACTTCACCCACAGGGGCACTTTCATGGCTTGGTGGTGAATGTCATCCATCTTGCTTTCCCTTGACAGCAGAGCCAGCAAGGCTTACAGAGCTGTTTAACCTGATGTAAAAGACCATTCAAATATGCCGTCAATAAATACACATTAACACCTACTGTGTGCCAGGCACTGATAACACAGAGGCTAACAACACAGATGCCCCCCTGACCTCCAAGCACGGAAAACATCTTGAGGGCATAAACGGCAGCGCTGCTGAGCCGGCAGAGGGACGTGTGAGACATTGTGGCAGGTGTGATAGTGACACCCCTCTTCTTGTCCGCGCTGGGAGTCACTTCACTGGCATAGCCAGTGCCTTGAATTCAGCCCTATGTTTCAGACTTGGTTTAGGGAATTAAACCTACATGTACTAGTGGAGGAACAAAACAGCTTGCACTCTCTGTGGTAAGTGGTGGGTAAACGGGCATGAGGGAGCAGCTGAACGGTGAGGTGGTGCCCGATACTGTAAAGGACAGTTGTCCTAGGCAGAAGGTGGGTGCCAGCTAAGCCAATGACTCTGCAGGGTGCCTGACCTTACATCACAAACAAACCCTGCAAGTTCATCTTGGGTGACTTCTCCTCTCCTGCAGAAATGTTCTTGCAGACAATCACAGAACATTAGTCTAGCTCCCCCTGTTTAATATAGTCCCTAATGACCACAGCAGGGAAGAGGAATTAGCAAATTCCCAAATTTTCCCTTCACATCATTTCCCAAAGCTCCTTTATGTAAGTAAGAGGTCCAGCTTTCATTATCGGCTTTTACCAAATTAAAGCTATTTGCATTTTACAAGTATATTTGAATTCCACATACATTGCATCTCACACCAAGACACCAGGCTCATTAGGTGGCTTTGTCTCTCATCAAGGCAGAAAGCCTTGAACAAATAATTAGCCTTGAGACTACAATTACACATTAAAATAATGAATGCATTTGCTGAGGCCACAGATAAATGCCACTGGGGCATCCCACTGCAATGCCACCCCGTATCAACGATGTCAGGTCACACCCTGCTGTAGTAAACTGGGGGGCATTCATGTTGATTTGGAATTGTTGCTATCACTATGCCTAGATACAAAGCACTGTTTCTGGGCCAATGTTTTTCAAACTTGCTTCAACATAAAAATTACCTGACGTGCTTATTAAAAATGTAAAACTCTAGGCTGCTCCCCCCATGTCTGTGTAAAGAAAGACCCAGAAACATAAACGTTTTTATCCAGATTTTCTGGTAAGTCTTCTAACTGAGAAAGTTTGAAAAACACTGGCTTTCACAGTGACCAATGGGAGATTTTGGAAACCAGACCTGGCTCATGAAATGAGTCCTAGCTGCCGCTTTTCCCTCGTCTGTTGGGCTGATAAGTGACTTCTTCTGTTGGCTGCAGCATAGGGCAGAGGCAGCTCCTGTGCCTGGGCAGGGCTCTGCTTCTAAAATCCAAAATCCTGATCCTGGATGAGGCTACAGCTGCTGTGGATCTGGGGACAGACAGCCTTATTCAGACGACCATCCGGAATGAGTTCTCCAACTGCACAGTCATCACCATCGCCCACAGGCTGCACACCATCATGGACAGTGACAAGTGAGTGTGGGGGACAGAACCTCATCCAGGGCAACAGTTACAGTGTCAGCTGGAAGCCTAAAGGCACTTCACAGCAGGGAGCTTAACAATGTCACTTGAAGCCCTGAGGCCTTACAGTTTTAAATTGTACATCAAGCTAATATAAGCTAAAGGGGGCAAGGATAAAATAGGAACTTATATTGTCTGAGTATGGGAAGGTGGAAGCCTCATCTTACATGTGGCAGATGTGGGCATAGACTGTCCCAACCGCCACACTCAGGCACTGTTTGGAGAGGAAGGAACTCCCTTTAATCCAAGCACCTTAAACATCGTGTACAGATGTGGGCATAGACTGTCCCAACCGCCACACTCAGGCACTGTTTGGAGAGGAAGGAACTCCCTTTAATCCAAGCACCTTAAACATCGTGTACTTTGCTGTTAGGGTTAGGGTCAGGGTCAGGGTCAGGGTTTCAGGGTTAGGGTTAAGGGTTAGGGTTTAGGGTTTAGGGTTTAGGGTTAGAGTTAGGTTAGGATTAGGGTTTAGGGTTAGGGTTTAGGGTTAGGGTTAGGGTCAGGGTTTCAGGGTTAGGGTTAGGTTAGGATTAGGGTTTAGGGTTTAGGGTTAGGGTTTAGGTGTTAGGTAGGGTTAGGGTTAGGGTTAGGGTCAGGGTTTCAGGGTTAGGGTTTATGGTTAGGGTTAGGTTAGGGTTAGGGTTTAGGATTTAGGGTTTAGGGTTAGGGTTAGGGTTAGGGTTAGGATTCTACTCCACTGGCCCCTTCCATCCAGGGCTAGACAAGGAGTCATCTCTGCCCATGCTCTCTGCTGAAGTCTATTTGTTGCCACTGTTTTGTTGGCTACCACTGTTCTTACAGATGGTTAGCTTTGACACACCACTCTCTAAAGCTTGTCTCTCCTCTATTGCAGGATAATGGTCCTAGACAGTGGGAAGATTGTGGAATACGGCAGTCCTGAGGAACTGATGTCCAAAACAGGTCCCTTTTATTTAATGGCCAAGGAAGCTGGCATTGAGACTGCCAACAACACAGAGCTCTAGCAGCTGGTTCCACAGCTACAGAACTGTGAGGAGCATCCTTATTTGCTTTTGGTTTTTGTGCCTATGTCATAGGTGCAACGATACATAGTTTGTTGCTATTGTTCAGGTTGACCTCAAACTTTTAGGCTCAAGCAAACTCTAGTCTCAGCCTCCCACATAAGAACAGATGTTTGAAAGAGTATCGTGTATGGGTACTTACATAAATATTACCAGGTACCTTAGCAGATCCTCAATGAGCCAGGAGATAGCTCAGTTCTTAGAGTGTTTGTCTTGCAAGCATGAGGACCAGGGTTTGGTCCCCAGAAATCATTTCTTTAAGTGGTCATGGCTGGGCATGATTATAATGCTGGTGCTGGTCAGACAGAGTGAGGCAGACACCTGGGGCTCAATGGCCAGCCAGCATAGCCTGCCTGGAAAATTCCAGGTCAGGAAGAGATCCTGTCTCGAAAAAACCCCAGGTGAACAGCACCAAAGGGACACTTGAGGGCAAACTCTGGCCTCAACACACACATACATAAACATGTGTGTACATCGCAGAAAGAAGAGTCCTCATTGCTCTGCCTTGATTACTATTTCTTGCTGCCCCCCCTCAATACCCAGAAATAACCGTTAACCTAAATTCCACAATTCTTTTGCCTGCTGTTTTAGTTTTGACCACCTTTGTATGTATGCTGTTTATTCTGATGTAAATGGACTCGTATTGCATGTATCATATGGCTTTACCTTTGCTCAACAATACATTTGCAGTTTGTCTGCATTGATGCACATGGCGAGGTGCCTTCACTTTCACTGTTCACTGCTCTTCGGCAGGACAGCATTAATCACACTTAATCTACTTACGTACTTGTGAATGCTGGGTTTATTTCCAGGGTTTCTGTTTTTCTATTAGTAACATTAGTACTATGAACATCCTGGGATAACTGTGTTTATTTCTCTAACGTCTAATTTGGAAATGGGGGTTATACAATGTTTACATATACATCCTGAGCAGTTCCAGTTTAAACAATGGCTACAACTAAGACCTCATTTTGGGTTTACTGTGTGTGTCCCTGACTTCTGTGGAGGATCAATATCTTTTTGTGTGTTTCTGGGACATATGGATTTATTATATATTTTTTAAAATGTTGTATCTCATTGTTTCAATATCTGCATTCTTTCTCATTTATTATTTTAATGTTTATTTTTACTCATTGATTCATTTTTAATTTTTAAAAGATTTATTTATTGTATTATGAATGTTTTGCCTTCATGCATGTATGTGGACCACATGTATCAGAAGTCAGAAGTGGGCTGGAACTCCTGGAACTGGATTTACAGACAGTTGTGAGCCACCATGTGGGTGCTAGAATCGGAGCCTGAGTCTTCTGTAACAACAAATGTTCTTAACCATGGTGCTGTCTCTCCAGTTCCCTCCCCCCATATACTATTATTTTTTATTTTTGGTGTCTTATTTCTTTGTATGTCTCCCGAATTTTTGTTGTGAGCATCTTATCTCCATTACAATTTGTTCTGGGAATATTCTTTGAGGTTGGAGTTAAATCCAAACTCTAAGAAAAATTTTGAAGGCTTCTGCCAGCCACCTGAGATCTCCCCTATACCTCTTGGGACTAAATTCTCTACTAAGAGTCCAAACCAAGCAGCTCAGGCGACTTCAGAGCGCAGTCATATATAAGCCCTGGTTTGTGATGTACAAGTCTCAAGGAGAGTCCCTGCTTCAGTGTTAAGGTGGAGATGGGCACGGGTTTCTGTGCTGTGGTTGACATCTCAATTCTACGTGGCCATCTCATGAGTAGCTAATTGAAGACTCCAGTCTATCAAAGGAGTCTGTGTGGGTTTCTCTCAGCATTATCTCTTAGTTGGTGTCCTGTATTATCAACAGAAGTAGACTTAAGCTTTCTGAGTTTGGAAGCCTTTGTCCCAGCCTCACGATGCCTTTCTGTGTTACACTGGAGCATCATTGTATTCTTCCAGTTGAGGAGGTAATGAGGAAGACTTTAATCTTTCTAGCACCTCACTGTTAAGTGAGGGTCTCAGAGGAATGGTATAAAGCTAAAGTAGCCAGAGTCTCCTTGCCCTGGCAGTCGCCAGTTGCATCTCTTATCCAAATCACGGCTCTCCCCTCCCTTCTAAAAGTTGCTCATATTAGGTAACACTGCACAGGTTTCCAGCACATTAACGGTGATCAATAGAGTGGTGTAAATATCAAACAGCTCAGGTGTATTACAAATAGTTCATCATTAGTGACTAGTTTTCTAAGATAGCTTTTGAAATGTTACCAACTTACTCAAAACTAGCTCCTATAGCTGCAAATCAGTATATATGAATCAAAGATTCTATCAATTGTACCCATCGTCGTATGTACCATAGAAAGAACATGGTACACTTGTTCGTGGCGTGCCTTGCATGAGATACCCCCCCCCTTTTTGTGGTGGCGGGGGAATGGCATTTGAGGGTTGATTGATAGAATTCTGCACCTCTGTTGGAACTAAGCTGCATCTCAGCTATTTCCATTTGCTCCTTTACTCCAGTATCACTACCAACGTCAATTTCTTTTTCACCACCAGATACTGTTTGCACCATTTGTTTTACCTCATCATTGGAATTATAAGTAATAGAATTTTCTTGTTCTGTAATTTTAAAATATCCTTATCTTCTTCCCAAGCACATTCTAAATAAATACAGTTCTCTGGTTTCTTGAAACAAGTTTCCAGGCACACAGCATTTGGGGACACAAGAGGAGCTTTTGGAAACCAGAGGAACAGTTTACACCTGTTGAGAGCTAACTGCCAAAACCAAGACATGCACTAGAATAAAGCATTTCAAATGAAAGAAGAGAGCCCTACCATTGCCCCCATTTATTTCTCCGACTAAATGGCCCAGGCTGATCCTTGTATCTTATCACCAGGGAGCTTAGATTGATGACCTGTTCTATTTATTTAGCATCTATTAAGTGTCTGACATTTTAAAGCATTTTAATATAAATAAAGGTATTTTATTTAAATAAATATTCTATTCTGGTGTGTCATCAGTTAATATTCCTCCACAAGTTTTATTTCAGCAAATTAATTTCTGGGACAATTTTAGATAAGTCTCAAAGACTGGAAGTCCTTCCAAAATGCCACCATTATCTTCAGAGATCTTTGGTCTCTTCCTGTGTCCTTGCTGATTCTTCTGTGTACTGGGATTCATTGTGTTTCAGGATGGAGAAGCTCAGGCCTTGTGAAGACCAGCCAGGAGGCAAGTTACAAATTGATCCATACCAAGAATGCCCCCCTGGTATATTGTAATTCCATTCAGGGTCCTGGTCAGGGAATGCCTCAGCCATGACTGGGTGGACAGCCTGTCACTGAGAAGGGGAGAGGGAAACTAGAGAATCTGGAAAGGAAGAGAGGGGCTGTGGGTCAAAGCTGATGATGTTTGGTAGTGTGACTAAAGATAGTGAAAGAATCATCTGGTTTGGGCCTCACAGCTAGGAGGAAACACCATATGGCATTTATTTTATTTATGGCAAAACCTAGCCATTTGGGAAAAGAAACTGCCCTTTCCTCAATTGCTAACTGTATACTGTCCAAACTGGACCAGCAGGATGTAAAAACAAACAAACAAAAAACTGCCAAACTTTGCCAAGACAAGGTAGGACAGTCCTTCAAAATTCCCTGCTTCTCAGAAATGTCTGTTAGATATACTAGGCCTGTAGGCCAAAGATGTGTGCTCCAGTGTTATAGAAGAACTTTGGGTGATTGTCCGTCCAGGCAGAGAAATGTCCCTGTTGTTAGGTAACATTTCACCCATCTGGGGTCTTTGATAGAGCTGAGGACTAGATAGTCATAGTTAAAGTTTTCCTTAGTTATGATAAAAGGCAAATTAGGTATAAAACTTTAGACTCGCAAAGATAAGATAGATAATAAAATGTTTTTTCTAATTTTGGATATTGTAACTACAATTCTTAATAACTGTTTTTGTTGTATATAATCTTACTATGTTAAACCTCCCTTTCTAGTTAGACAAAAAAAGGGAGAAATGCTGTGGAATAATCCTTTTTTTAACACTGTGAAGATTTGTCACTTGGATTGGTTTAATAAAAAACTGATTGGCTGGTAGCCAGACAGGAAGTTTAGGTGGGACAACCAAACTAGGAGGATTCTGAGAAGAAGGGCAGAGTGAGAGGAGATGCCAGCAGAAGCAGAGGAAGCAGGACGTGTAGAAAATGAGTCATGAGCCATGTGACACAGAGTAGATAAGAAATATGGGTTAATTTAAATGTAAGAGTTAGCTAGTAACAAGCCTGAGCTATTGACCGAGCATTTATAATTCATATTAAGTCTCCATGTCAATGACTCACAACCTGTAACTCCAATTCTAGGGGATCTGACTCCCACTTTTGGCCAGAGCAGGCCACCAGACACATTTGGTATACATACATACATACATACATACATACATACAGGCTGGCCCTTGGATTGTTGTCCCACCCCACACAGGAGAGCTAGCTGCAATGACCCAGGCACAGGAGAACTTGTCCTACCCATCATGGGAGAGTCCCCCACCCCCACACACACACCTGGGAGGGTGCTGGGAACTGAACCTGGATTCTCTGCAAGAGCAGCAAGTGCCCTTAACTGCTGAGTCATCTCCCTAACCCCTCCTTCTTCAACTCTTCACAATCAATCAAGGTTTTGTTTATTATATTGGTGATTGGCTGTATGGACCTTACCTCAATATCCATATGGTTTTATGCCTGATAAACACCACCATGTATTCAAATTCATCTCCCCTGTCCCTGGCTTCCCTTCTGTTAGAGCAGTAATCTTTGGGACATTTACTTTCTGCTCAGGGAAGAAATGCACACTTGTTCTTCTCTGGGAAATTCAGTGTTGGCTGGTATCTCTGAAGGGATTGCTGAAGTCTTCCAAAAGATTAGCTCTGACCACAGGTTCTTTCCTGGCTTGGTGCTAACACTGTTGCCTGCTTGCCTGCTTCTTTCTTCACCACAGGTTAATTGTCATCTGGTTCCTTAGGGCCTGATCCCCATAATATCTCCCTAACATGTTTACTAATTCTGAATTGTAAACCAATTGCAGATAGTCTGTTTTTCCTTTCCCTCCATAAAATGTCATCAGAATCTTTTTCCTTTTAGTGGAAGTAGGGATATAATTTAAGGGTCTAATTTGGCTTGTTTCTGTTTTTGTAAATAGTTTACTGTTTTTTGTTTATTTTATTTTTTTAGAGCACAGCTATGTTCCTTTATTTTTATATTAGCCATGCCTGCTTTTATGCTGCAACGCAGAGTTAAGTCATAACAGATTTTGTGGCCTTTGTTCCCTAAAATATGTACTGTCTAGATCTTTGTAGAAAAGGTTTTCAGGCTTCTATTTCCATCATCAAAATGGTGACTTGCCTCAGAAATATTCCTATGACAGAGATGTTCACAATCAAATCCATAGACCCGGACAATATGTCACATTTCATTACAAAAAAAGGTTTTGCCATTTTAATTATGGGTTTGGGGATGGAAGAGTGGATCGTGGGTTATTCAAGTGTGACCAGTGTAATCAGAGCTTCTTTATAAAAGAGCTCAAGGTGGCTGGGGGGTGTGGCTCAGGGGTGGAGTGTTTGCTGCGCACGTGTGAGGCCCGGGCTCCACAAAAGGCAGCCAGGAATTCAAAGCCAAATAGAAGGTGATGTAAAGATGGACGCTGAGAGACTAAATGAACGCTACAGCATTTGCTTTGAAGTTAGAGGAAGGAGGTCCAAGCCGAGGAGCAAAGTCAGAAAAGGTAAGGGGAGGTGCTCCCCAGGAGCCTCCAGAAAGGACAAGTCCTCAATTTTGACATTGTAATGGGTTTTAAGCCACAGAATTCATGGTGATTTGTTATGGCAGCAAGTGATGAAGCAGCCTGCCTGGGTCTTGGGCTTGAGAACCATCTTACAGTGACGACAAACTAGGCTCATCCCTGCTTATGATTCAATCTGTTTCTCAAGGATTGAGCTATGCTCACCCTAACAACAAATGGTTCTGTACTGCCTGTTTCAGGAAATAGCAACCATGTCTTTTGTTTCAAGAAGTTGTTATTATGACCACCTTGTCGTGTTCAGTTTCTGTAACCCCACCTATTTGCCTGCCAACCCCTTCATTTGGAAACCCCCTAGCCCTGAACTATAAAAACCTTATTTTCCCCGTGTCCAATGCTGACCTCTTGATGCTGCCTTAGAGGGAGTCAGCCTGTGTTAAAAAGCTTGCTTTAATTAATTTGGTCATGGTTTAAGTTGGTGGTCTTTCTCCTGCAATCTTTGGGGTTCCCTAAGAGGAAGCTAGGATTGGAGAGCTCCAGTGCCTCTGATAAAACTGACAAGGTTTTCCGAAGAGTGCTTAATGGCAAAGTTTTTTGTTTGTTTTTGTTGCTGAGGTTGGGGTTTTTACTTACCTTTTACTTACCCCAAATCGTTACAACACAGTGCCTTTTACTTACCCCAAATCGTTGATTGCAACACTCATGACTGACACGTGTCCAGGACACTTGGCCCTGGTGTGTAAGAACTGCCTCCCAGGTGTGTAAGAACTGCCTCCTGAGACCTCAGGAAAGGGTCACAGACTCAGAATTCATAGGCTACAGTTTACTGAGAGGACTTACTGATAGAAGCCTCGGGCAGCAGCGAGACCAAGTCATGCTAAAATCCCTACAAGAAGCAGGGGAAAGACAAAACAGCTTCAAGTGCTCAGTGGTAGGGTGCTTACAGGAGGCCCTGCCGGACCTGGTGTCAGTAAGCTACACATAACTGCCCTTTTGGGGCACTCACAAATAACAGCCGATGAATAATGTATTCAGAAAATCAGGAGCATTCTCAGAGAAAAGAATCCATGGCTTAAATTGGGCAAAAGATTTAGAAGTGTTTGTCTGTTTGTAGTATGTAGGGAAACGGCAGAGATAAACCAACCAGGATTGTTGGGGGCGTGACGCAAGTCGGCTTCAGTCAGGTCGAATTGCATCAATACACCCTTTCCCAACTAAACTGCCCCAATCTTAACTCCATTTGATCTATTTGGAGTTAATCATGCCCTGTTCTCAGCTAAAAGGCTGTTGTGAAGGCAGCAGCCAACATCGCCATAATATTGCTAATGGTGGCGTAGGCCTGTCATACTTAACTTTCCTGACCCTGTACATAAAGGGCAGCTGTGACAGGAAGTGCCTGGGGCCTGACTCCTCTTGGGTGAACCGGAGACCCTTGGATAAGATGCATAGGCATAGCTTGGTGACATGGTCTGCATGAGTGTTCAGACACCCCTAGTCATATATAAGGTCTTCCGGGCCTGCTCCCAGTATTTCCAGAATGAACATGTTTCTACTAAGCTAGGTGCTCTTTTCACTTCCCCTTCCTGCCGCCGGGTCATGGTTAACGCTGGGAAAGCGTCACACCTGTTTCTCCTTAAAGAACATCTCTTAGACTGGGCACTGGTGGCAAATGCCCTGAATCACAGCAGGCAGATGTCTGTGAGCTTGAGGCTAGCCTGGTCTACATACATAGTGAGTTCCAGAACATCCAGAGCTACATAATGAAATTATGTCTCCAAAAAACAAAAACAAAAACAAAACAACAAATAAAGGACATCTCTTAATGGCGCTGAGGCACAGGCTTGCAAGTACTTTGCAAAAGCTTTAATTTGAGTCAGTGTTAGATCTTGGACCCACTGCCAGTGGCCTCTTATACTGTCCCAGTCACACTATTGTCACCTATATTAAGGGAGTCTAGTTTGGTCTTATGCAGGCTCCCCATTTGTCAGCCCCGAGTCAGTGATCTCTCACTAGTTTGGGTCAGCTGATTCTGTGGGTTTCCCCATCATGGTCTTGACTCCTTTGTCCATATTATCACTCCTCCCTCAATTTTGATTGTATTCCAGGAGCTTGGCCCGTTGGTTAGTTGTGGATTTCTGCATCTGCTTCCATCTGTTTCTGGAAGAGGGTTCAAGCTTCTCTGGGGTTGTGGATTGTAGGCTGGGTATCTTTTGCTTTATGTCTGGTATCCACTTATGAGTGAGTGCATGCTATATTTGTCTTTCTGGTTCTGGGTCACTTCACTTAGGATGGCTTTTCTAGTTCTGTCCATCTGCCTGTGAATTTTAGGATGGGTCATTTTCTTAATTAGTGATTGATGTGGTGCAGTCTGGTGGTACCTTGCTGGGCTGGCCGTACCTGGGTTTTGTAAAGCAGATTAAGCAAGCCATGAGGAACAAGCTCCATGACCTCTGTATCAGTTCCTGCCGTCAGGTTCCAGCCCTGTTTGAGTTCTGTCCTTGGCTTCCCTCAATGGATTGTGACTCGGGATATGTAAGCAGAGCAAACCCTTTCCTCCCCAAGTTGTTCTGGTCATAGTGTTTCATCACAGCAAAAGTAACCCTAAGATAGTTGTGTCTCAGCCCTTACTGTACTCTTATCTCCTGGGGCCTGGTTAAACTTTTGTTCAGCAAGTTCTGGGGCCAGCCTTGCCCACAGCCTCCAGGTGGCCCTACTTCTCTGCAGAAGCCATCACAGGTAACAGAGGCCTAGAAGGCACCTGGTATTGATACAAAAGCGTACATTGTCTTCATAAACTTGCACCTAGCCCAATTATTACCCTTTTGCCAATGATCCCTTTAATCTTTTCAATTTTTTTGTCTTTTTTTTGTTGTTGTTTCTCAGTGTAGCCCTAGCTGTCTTAGAACTTGCTCTTTAGACCAGGCTGGCCTCCAACTCAGAGAGATCCACCTGGCCTCTGCCTCCTAAGTGCCCCTGGGATTAAAGGGGTACGCCACTACTGCCTGGCTTCAATTTCATATTCTTTATAAGATAGTTCTCTTTCCCACCCTCAATAAATCTTTTGCCTAAATCAGTTAAGAAAGACTTAATAGGGGTCTGGAGAGATGACTCAGAGGTTAAGAGCACTGGCTGCTCTTCCAGAGGTCCTGAGTTCAATTCCCAGCAACCACATGGTGGCTCACAGCCATCCGTTATGAGATCTGGTGCCCTCTTCTGACCTACAGGGATAATGCAGACAGAACACTGTATACATAATAAATACATACTTTAAAAAAAAAGAAAGACTTAATATCCCCAGAAATTGCTTTTCCTGCCTTTGATCCTCATCTTCCAGGCCATTCTCTCCCCCAACACAGGTGATGCCTTTTTTTTTTTTAATTATTTTATTTAAATTAAAAATAATCTTATTTTACATGCCAATCCCAGTTCCCCCTCCCTCCTATTCTCCCACTCCTCCCACCATCTCCCCACCCCACCCCCACCCACTCCTCAGAGAGGATGAGGCCTCCCATGGGAGATCATCAAAGTCTGTCACATCTTTTGGGGCAGGACCTCCCCCCCCCCCTCTAGGCTGAGAGAGTATCCCTCTATGGGAATGGGCTCCAAAAAGCCACTTCATGCACTAGGGATCAATACTGGTTGCACTGCCAGAGGCCCCATAGACTGCCCAGGCCTCCCAACTGACACCCATGTTCAGAGGACCTGGTTCAGTCTTTATGCAGGTTCCCCAGCTGTCAGACTTGCTCAGATCAGCTGTTTCCGTGGGTTTCCCCAGCATGGTCTTGACCCCTTTGTTCTTCACTCCTCCCTCTCTACAACTGGATGACAACGCCTATGCGGGTTTGTTCCCGAGTCATCAGCTCTGAAGTCCTTGATGTGGCCCTTGAGTCCCCTCCAACTTGCTGTTTACACTGTGTTGATGTTTTAACCTTGGTTTTTCCATTGACAAAAATTGTGTAAGTTTGGGCTGGAGAGATGGCTCAGAGGTTAGGAGCACTTGCTGTTCTTCCAGAGGTCCTGAGTTCGGTTCCCAGAAACCACAAAACCACACAGTAGCTCACAACCATCTGTAATGAGATCTGGTGGCCTCTTCTGACCTGCAGGAATATATGCAGGCAGGACACTGTATGCATAATAAATAAATAAATATTGTGTACGTTTATCATGAACAACATTTTAAATCATGCACACACTGCAGAACTTTTTAAAAAGGATTTTATTGAGTTTCATAGTATTTGATCATAATCAGTACTCAGTCTCCCTAACACCTTGGATCACCTCCAGGTCCCCGGTCTCTTGGTTTTTGTTTTAAGAGTTCTCAACTCTAATTTGTGCTGTCCATATACTCATGAGGTTGGGGCCATCCACTGCAGTATGGTCAACCTACCTAGAGCCACAGCCTTTAAGAAAACTAGACTCCCCCTCCCCTCCCCCTTCCCCAGTGGTCACTAACTGTCCACAGCTCCTTGATTGGGGTGGGGGCTTGTGAACCACTTTCCACTCCATGCAAGAATGTTGACTGGCTTGCTCTTATCATGTGTTGGGGCCCATAAAAATGGCTCTGCTTCATCTTAAAGTCCGAGACTTCAAACCCACTATTGCTCTTTCAATGTTAAACAACAGGATATTTGGCCTAAGGAGTACCAACAGATACCTTACCTTGAAAACAGGGTATTTGGTTTAAGGTGTGGTGACTTGATATTTTGGGTATTGAGAAGGTAATTACACTTGCTTGTTCTTTGTATCTTGGTAAGGAAGTCTTTTGCCCTCCCTCTCTTTTGATTGGGTATTTTAAGAACCTTGAATAATAAACTTGCTGTAGTTCCTGGCATTCACCAGATGCCCTCCCGACCCTATCCAGTGTCTCTGTCTTTCCTTTAGTATCTTTAACTTTTCTGCCTGTCATTTCTTAATCTACACGCTTCTCTCCAAGCATGGATGAATAAACCGGTAGGATCCAGCTGTTGTTGTCTCCCAGATTCAGGGTACGGCAGTCATGCAGGCAGTTTTGCTGTCGTCTCTAGGAGTTTGACCTCTGTCTCTTAAAATCTTTCTGCCCCACCTCTTTGATGGTCTCGGAACCTTTGGGAAGGAGATGTTATGTCACGGATGTCCCATTTGTGACTGAGCACTCTATACTGTATTTATGCTCTGCACTTTGACCAGTTGTTTCTGTGGTAACCATCGTCCACAAACAAACAAACTTCTCTGAGGACTGAGGGCTACACTCATCCATGGGGAGAGATATAGATTTAGAGGGCAGCCTGAGACTACGCGCCTTTAGCAAAATAACAGGAGAAGGTTCATCCAGGGGGGCCGTGAGCTCCCCAACCATGGCTTCAAAGCCAGATTTCTGGCTTGTTTTCATAGTACTGGAAGGTGCTGTGCAGACTGCTGGGGGAACAGCATTACCAGCCGTGAACATGATTTTTTATGGTGAGAACACTTGAAGCACTTATGAACAAAGGAAGGAAAGAAGAAATTCAGAACCTGAACAAGGGATTAAGCCCCCAGGATGAGAAATTCAGTAATTTGGATGAAACACTCAGCAAACGCACAGAAATTCAGAGAACACAGAAATCCTAGAAATAAACTTGACTCACAAGGCTGGAGAGATGGCTCAGAGGTTAAGAGCATTGGCTGATCTTCCATAGGTCCTGAGTTCAATTCCCAGCAACCACATGGAAGCTCACAACCATCTGTTATGAGATCTGGTGCCCTCTTCTGGTGTGCAGATATACATGGAAGCAGAGTGTTGTATACATGATAAATAAGATCTTAAAAAAAAAGACAAAAAAACCTCAAATCGCTTAAAAACTCAATCGGAAGTGATGTGATCATCCGGCCTCTGTCTCTCAAGTGCTGGGATTAAAGGTGTGTATCACACGCCAGACAATTTCTGTGAGCATACATAATAAATCCATATATATATATATATATATATTTATCCCTCACAGCTGGCCCTGAGGGCAAACATACACTTGTAACCCCAACACCCAGACAAGCAAAAGGATAGACCTGCCTGGGCTACATAACAAGATCATCCCATTGTACTCCCCAAAAGGGAAAGAAAAACACCTCAAAGTGTTTAGATTAAAGACTTAAATCTATGGAACTGTTTTGTTTTTTAGTTTATAATTAGGAACAAGCTTACCTCACATGTCAATCCCTTCTCCCTCCCCTCTCCCAACCCCCAACCAGCCCCTCATCTCATCCCCCCTCCACTCCCCAGGGAGGGAACTGCCCTCCATGGGAGCTCCCCAAAGTCCCCCACATCATCCTGGGCCAGGCCTGGGCCCTCCCCATGTGTCCAGGCCGAGAGAGCATCCCTTCACGTGGGGTGGGCTCTCAAAGTCCCTTCTTACACCAGGGAAAAATACTGATCCACTACCAGGGGCCCCATAGAGTGCCGAGGCCTCCACATTGACATCCATGTTCAGGGGTCTGGATCAAACTCCTGTGCTGGCCTCCCAGACAGCAGTCTGGGGTCCAAGGAGCAGGGGTTCTTAATCTCCTAATGCTGCGACACTTTCATGTTGCGGTTGACTCCTAACTATAAAATTATTTCATTGCTACTTCATAACTGTAATGTGCTACTGTTGTAAATTATAATATAAATATCTGAGATACAAGATATCTGATCCCCAAAGGGTCATGAACCATGAGTTGAGAAACACTGCTGTAGAAGTACTGAAAGGAAACAGGGTCCCTTGCCCCTCAGCTGGGCAAGGATGAGAGAGTTCAGATTCGAGATGAAGGAAACACTTATGGCCAATAGAAACACTTTTATTTATAAAATAGCTACTTAAATATAAACATCTCTAAATATAAACCCTTCCTAAGAGGCCTCGACCAGTGGAGCAGGAGACGTGTCTGGGATGTCCGCTGCCACGTCTTGCTTCACCAGGATTTTAAGGCCAAACTGGAGGAGCAGCGGCCGGAAGGCTGGTCCAAGGTGTGCTCACCTGGAGTCTGAGGGCTCCGCTGAGGCAAGTCTCAGGGGCCATCTCTTCACATGAGGTTTAGGGAGCACCTCCCAGCCTTGGGTGTGAGGTCTCATTAGGCACTTTTAGCATCTGTTTGGCTTTGAATATTGTGTCTGAAGTATGACAGTTGGTGGTGAGAAAGAAAAATTCCATGTGGATGCCACTAGATGGCAGCACAGTGCTCAGGTGGCAGAGAAAGGCATCCAGGCTTCCTCCAGGCTCAGCTGGTTGGAGATCACTGCAGAATTAATACTTTAAGTGGCCAGCTTGAGTGCTGACCCGGGTAGTCTAGAAAAGTCTGTCCGTTATTACATACGGGGAGAAAGGTTAGGAGACATCACACAAAGACCATATAAGGTTGAAGAGTATCAGGAAGAGGCAGATGACCACGTCTGATAAGGTAAGAGAACCTTCTAGACACAAGGTCAAAAGAAAAGGAAGACCGTAAACATCTCACAGAAGAGCAGTGAAAAAAAAAAAATAAGGTTAGCATTTTATGAACTACAAATCAGGAGCATGTCAGAGATTGGAGGGGTGCTGGGCACTGGGGGTGTCTGAAATTTTGATGCACCAGGTTTAGTGTGATCTGGCATGTATGAAGGCGTGATGGCGGAGCTCTCTGAGCCTGCTCCTCTCTGCTGACTGCTCAGTCGACCATGGAGGCTGCAACAACCAATGCACAAGCTTCCTGCATACAATACTGCTTTTCTGACACCAGCACCCGGCCAGCTCCTTGTGGTCAGTGACTCATCGGCAAGCTTTGGGGTCCACTTCAAATTCTAACGAGCATCACAGTGTACAACCCAATTGAGAGTAAAGCTTATCTTGCACTCCACGATATGGATAAGCAGTGTGGTGGGGCCTGTGCTCAGCAGTGGGCGCTTGGAGCCCACCAGAGCCCTTCAGCAGACTGAAAGTAGCGGCAAGGGAGGGTGGGGGCAACCTGGCTCAGGTGTACTCAGTCTTCCGGATATAATTGGAAGGGACATAGCCCTTCCTCCCATTAACTTCAGCCAACCACCACTCTGTATTGCCTGTGACATCTTTAAAGTCAAGGATCCTGAGTCTCTGATTGGCTGACACACTCAGTTCATTTGGGTTTCGTGCCTTGAAGGTGTAGACGGCAAAATAGACCTAGGTGAAAGAGAGAGAGAGAGAGAGGGTTAGGAACCTGTTTGCAGCAATGCTGTGAAGGCAACGGTCTGTACTATGTTATCAAGCACCCATGGGCCTGAAAGTGGAATTTCTTTCTTTCTTTCTTTTTGAGGGGGGTGGTTTTCAAGACAGGGCTTCATAGCTACATATGATTGGAGTAACTCTTAATGAACAGGACAGAGGCAGGGGAGTGCTGTAGGGACAGTGTAAGCCACGCCTGCTAGAAGCAGGTGTGCCTGACCTGACCACGCCTGTCAGGGCGTGGCCAAGGTGAGGTCAGGATGACTCGTGATAGGGTTTTAAGGGGCTGCAAGGCACATGTGAGCCCCTTCTCTCTGGCCTCCCTGCCTTGCTGCCCCTGGCATGCTCTGGCTTGTGTTTGGCTGGTGTTTATCTAAATAAAGATATCTTAACCTTACAGACTATGGATCCTCTCGTATTAGAGTGCCACCAACTACAGGCCAGACTAGGACACATGGTGACACCCTGTCTCAAAAACCTCTCAAAAAAACTGTACAATTCCCACTGTTTCAGAAGAGCAGGAACCTTTGAGCTGTGAGGGAACCTTCCTCTGCCCCAATTCTGTATTACAACCTAGAAATTCTCAATTAAGACAGCTCAGATCACAGGCTTAGCCTGCTCCAAAACCTGGGCTCCTGGGCTCCATTCCCAGAACAGGAAAGAAAAACAAAACTCCAAACCAAACCAAAGTCATAATATATGATTAATCCCAAAGCAAGAGAGGTTGGCTTGTAGGTGTGGCAAAAAGGGCGGGGGCAGGAGGCAAAGCGAGCAGGTGGAGGGTGCTCAGCGGGGGGAGAAACCATGAGGCCCCAGGGACCACATACACACCCAAGGACCATCATTTCAGGACGACCAGGCTCAGGAGTTGACCAAGCTAGACCCGAGTTCCCTGAACGTCAGGAAATGCTCTCCACTCAGGTTCAGAATGGGGAAACCTGTCCTAGGCTGTCAGTACAAAGAATTGCCAGGCAGCAGCTAACAGGTGCCACACTCCCCTGACATGAAAGTGGAACTGGGAGGTGAAAACTGGCTTTTGGAATCCAGACTTCAGACTCAGCAACACAACACAGACCACATAAGACTAATGAGAAAACCCACTTCTGTGTGACCCTCGGATACAAAGGTGCAGCCTCGGATCAGTGTGAAAAACCAAAATCCATGACAGAAAGTCAGCAGACACCTGGCTCACAAGGCAGGAGCAGGCCATACAGAAACAGGAAAAGCTGAAACAGCACAGATTTTCATTTCTGAATTCTAGGAATAAAAATATAACTGGGAACAACAGCCCCATACACTGGAAGAATTTATAGGTTGAAGAGTAAAAACAGGTTTCATCTTAGCATCTTTTTAACATCTAGTGACAAAGCAGAGGGTCCTGGGGACGGTCAGGAAGTGTCTGGAAGCAGGGGACGGTCAGGAAGTGTCTGGAAGCGGGCGGGGGCGGGGCGGGGGGGCGGCGGCTGCTCCCTAGGGCAGTGGGTTCTGGGGCATATAGGACAGGCTAGGGTTACAGCCCCTGTGGGGCCCTCTCCTGCGTCGTTCCACATCCGCCCACACTGAGGAGCCACGCAGGCGCGGGGTGCGGGGTGTGCGTACCTGGTTGCCTTCTGTCTCACCGCTCCCGAGCCCTCTGTTTCTGTCTTCTACAGTCTGATAGGCTCTTGCACTTCCTTTTATGGAGTCATTACCTTGTTCGTTTCGCCCTGGTACAGAGTAACCGACCACCTCTGAATGCCTGAAGCTTCTCTGGCAGCCCCTGGGGACTGAAGCAGGTTGGCTTATGTCTCTGGTGCCATCTGCAGAGTCCCCTGGCCTAAGCTGGCAGGGAGAGTCTGGGTCTGGAAAGCACCTGGAAGGTCCAGTTTCTGGACTCCCCATGTTCAAGGACACACTGAGAGTTCCTTGGTCACATTCCTTCAGTGAAGACGTGTCCTGGTGCTGCTTCGGGGAAAGCCCTGAGGTGAAGGACACAGTCATGTTGTTGGAGTTGAAGGTCAAGGCACTGTTGCTGCTCTGCCGCTGGACCCTGGGGGAGGAGCTGCTGTGTTCCGACTCTGTGGAAGAGTGGCTGCCCACTGAGGCGTCCGAATGGCTGCACCGAGGATTGTAGGCCTTCAGGAAGGAGCTGTACACAAAACCTCTGGTGACTGCAGAGGAAAGAACAACAGCTAGAGCTGGAGTGTGTGTGTGCGCATGGGTGGGATACAAGGAAATTACAAAGTATAGTTTAAAAGCTAAGTCAATGGGGTTGGAGTGATGGCTGAAGAGCACTAGCTGCTCTTCCAGGGGACCTGGGTTCGATGCCCAGTACCCACATGGCAGTGACAACCATCCTTAACTCCAGTTCCAGGAGGTCCAATACTACCTTCTGGCTTCCACAGGCACCAGACACATATGTGGTGCACAGACATAACATGCAGCCCAAACACCATACTCACAATAAATACATTTTAAAAAAAAAGCTAGATCAAGAAAGACAAAACCCAAATGCTTAGTGATGCTTGCCAACCCTAGAAAATGCCCCACACCCATGGCTACCTTCTAGGTTATTCTTATAGCTGCACACTAAAATGACAAGGATGTCTGTGGACAACACAGGTCGGTGAAAAAAACAGAACAAAACAAATCACATTTGTTTAAAAATAACTAATGAAACACCAAATTTTAGTGGGTCATACTTGTGACCTCAGCATTCGGAAGACTGAAGGATTACTGCAAGTTCAAGGCCTGTCTTGCCAAAGTGAGACCTGTATCAAAATAACAGCCCCCCCCCCAAAAAAAAAAACCCAGAAGAAAACAAAATATCACATGTGGGATGGGCACAGAAAGCAATGTGACAGGATGCCCAGACCACACAAGAGAAGACTTGGGTAAACGTAAGTTCAAATACAACAGTCAAAGGCAGATTTCAAGGCTGTCCTTGCACTGAGCCCTCAGAAAGGCCATCTGCCCCCGACCCTCCATGCACCAGAACCTGTGCTGTGGACTACTGTGAGTACTCTACTGCAGGACGCTGACTCTCGGGTCAAGCACACAGCCATGTCTAGCGTGTGTACTTCAACAATAGCCTATGCTGATGACAGAGGGCTCTTGGCCACACATTTCAAATAAAAATGGTTCTTGTCATAAGAGAGAGAAATCTGAGGAGCACAGACCCTGGGCAGGCAACTCAATGCCCAAAGAGCATGGTTTCTTTTTAATTAAATGCTGGTATTTTAATCTTATCCCATTTTTTCTTTGTTTCTGTCCCAGAGCTCTGCTCACGAAGGAATTCCAGCTTTCTAGAGCTGAGGGGTGACCCGGGGCCCCCAACACGGCAGGCTGTCTTTGGACACAGTGTGAGGTATGGTACATCTTCTGGCTTTTTACCTGGATTGTGGGGTCTGAACTCTAAACCCCAGTCCTGTAGAGCATTTCACCCTCCCCAGCCCATAAGATGATTTTAAAGAATCCCCCCAATACTAAAACTGGCCTATGCCCCCAAACTCTACCTAGACTACTTAAGGCCAGGGGCATTGGAACTCATAATTTTTTGGTTTGAGGAATGTCAAATATTTATCTATTTCATAGTCCTCCACAGCATTCCTCCTGCTGGCAAAAGAAAGTTACAACTACAAATCCTTTCCTGCTACTCTGCTCAGGTTTGACAAGAGGGTTCTGAAAGAGCCTTGTTTTTCTAAATTTGGGGACTGTGGATTTGGGGATTGTGGGAAAAAGGATTAGACTAAAGTCTATAATCTTCCTCCAAAAAAAGAAAGCTGTGAAGTATTGGATTCCAAGTCCCTCTCTAAACAGCCACAAAGTAACATTATTACAGGGAAAGCTAACAAAACCACAGGCTTTTAATTCATACACAGTTTATAGACTCACAGGGCAGCTAGCTGCCTTGGTGACTTAGAAGAAAAACATGGCAACGATTTCAGGATAAATAAATAACAGAATCATTCCTGAAAGTTGTCAAAACTAAAGCAATCCGAAGCAGGTGGCTTCACTACCAACCTGGGTGCCACACACTCTAGAAATCAGGAAAATTCTTTGATCACTTCCCAGGCCTTTTTCCTTATTCAGTCACATTTACCCAGAGCCTGGAGCACTCACCTCCATTGTCGATGAGCCAGCGGTTCTGACTGCCCATGGGGTCTTTCTTTTTTATCACACCCACCAGGTCGCCTTCCAAAAGGGGGACATCCAAGTCCTGAGCAGCGTTGAAGTTCCGTTCCACCTGGAAGAGCTTTTCAGGTGGGTACCTTGCCAGCAGGGAGGCCCGGAGCTCCTCTGACTGCAGCATGTAGCTCGGCTGAGAAACAAGAATAAGAATCCCAGAGTCAGCCCAGCACAGCACCAGTGAGAAGCCCACTGTCCCCCTAGCCCAGGGCCAATAGGAACCCTGTTGTCCTCCTAGCCCAGGACCAGTGAGAACCCTGCAGTCATGTTTAATCTCAGCCTGCCGTCTCAAGAGGGAGGCACAACCCTCAGCCACCCAACTACCTACCAAAGACAGTTTCATAATCAAGTTAGGCTGTGTTAGGTAAAAACTGTGGTCCTTTAGGCAATGTTTTGATATCTCTGAAGCCATGAGGCAAGCTAACACCCTTACTTTATGCTAAACAATCTAATACTGGTGGTGGGGAGGGGGCTGTAGCCCTGTAGCAGAGCACATTCTTAGCATGCACAAGGTCTTGTGGTCAATTGCTAGTACCAAAATAAAATGAAATTTAAAACGGAAAAAAAAAATCCCAATACCAAGCACATCACTGGGCCTTCTACATTGCTAGATAGACCTTCATAATGAGAATTAAATCAAAGGCAGGTGCTATAGAGGTGATTCAGGGGGTCAAGGATTCAGATAGCTCCCAATCATCTGTGACTACAGCCCCAGAGAATCCCACACCCTCTTCCGGACCCTTCAGGCGCCTACATACATATGCACATAATTTAAAAAGTAAAGGCAATAACAAATCTATTTCTCCCCTGTAAAGTAACTGGCTGCCTGTGGGAGTCTGTGGAGCAATGTGGAGGGAAGGAAGGCAGATCCTTGGTTGGTCCTTCTGGCTAGAAGCCCACATGATCTGGTGTACGTTACCTCTAATTTTAAAGTGCCTTTAATCCCAGCACATGGATGGCAGAGTTAGGTGATCTCAGTGAGTTCGAGGCCAGCCTGGTCTACAAAGTGAGTTCTAGAACAGCCAGGACTGTTACATAGAAAGCCCCCACCTCCCAAGCAAAAACAAAAACAAAACAAAAAAAACCACACTGCTACTCTAGGTGAAAAAGTTTTATTAGGGAAGTTAGCACAACCAAACAATATGATCAAAACCAGGCCTGAATGAATCTCTAACTCATTACGAGTAATGAAGCCATCCATGTATTAATGCTTTACTAAGATCCAGGAATGATTTCAGAAGATGGCTTAAAATTCACATCAAGACTCCAGGTGGCCCCAGTCACAGAGCCACATCAGTGATGCTTGGGAAACAGCCGTGATGGAACAGGCCTGATAACCTCTTACTCTCCATTTATTATTTAAAGTCAAAACTCCCACTAAGCTGTCTGTATGCAGAGGCACACTAGGCTCTGCATATATATCAATAATGTCTACCTGCACAGTGCTTAAGCGCTGGGCAACTCCACACATTAACTCATTTAAGTCTGGCACTAGCCCATCTGGGTTAGAGTTGATGACTGACATGCTCGGATGCCTGGTCTGTACACCAGTCATGGGGGTGCCACACCAGGTGCCTACTCACCATGCCAAGAAGGGGCTTCCGGGATGACTGGCGGTCTGTGGTTTTCCTCTCAAAGGGCTTCCTGGGAGCAAGGAGGGACTCGGGGAAAAAGGTGAAGACCTGCAGCTGCTGTAGGACCCGGCTGTGCTCCTCATGGAAGATGGCGACCAAGTTGCCTTCTCGGTCAGTGGCTCTCAGTAACTGCAGACCACAGGGAGTCAAAACAGGAAAGAAAAGAACACATATGAAAGACCCCTTGGGCCTGACAAAGTCTTCAGAGACAACTACACACTACGGACAGCTGTAGTAGTTGGCAGTCCAGAGACATGGAGCTCCGTTACTGCCCACACGTCTAGAAATGGCTCAAGGTGGAAACAGATGTTTGAACAACCTCAGGCTGCAAGACACCAAGAATGGATGGAGAGTCCTAGATAGGCAGGACTGAATGACTCTACCAAGAATTCTAGAAGGTACCGATTGTACCTGAGAGAGAACTCGGCCCTAGCAGACGGAAGGACTCACCGGCAGCAGGGGCTTCAGCTGCTCCAGTGCCTGCTGCACGAAGTCACAGTGGGCTTCCGCGTAGCCGTGGATGCAGTTGGTGAAGAGGCCCTGGGCGTACTGCTGGAACTTGGGCAGCTCGTCCAGCAGCTGGGCGTTCAGAGCCTCGTAGTTGTTCCGGGCTGACTGCAGCTCCTCCAGAGTCTTCTTGTCCTTAAGCTTCTCCGCTCGCTCGGTGCAGTTGTAGAAGTCCAGGAGCTTGTCGAAGCGCTTCTGCATCAGCTTGTGTGGCCCCGTGAACATGCTCAATAGCTGGCTTAGGGGGTTGATGACAAGCCGCTCGGTCCTCTCCTTCTGTGGGGACGAGAAAGGCAAGTCACTGGTCAGTACCTCGTTTGTCTCCAAAGCACTTTAAGGTTGATTTGGTCATGTCTGATACCCCTCTTTGCTCTAGGGTCCAATGTGACACATAGCCATCCCCCTACTGTGCTTCGACTGGCAATTCTCACAATGGGGCTTTTGCCAGCCAGGCTCCCCTCTCTGGCTTCTTTGCTGATGAATACTAAAGTATACCTCGGTATGGAGTGTGACTAGTCTGTGCGGCTACCTATGACATGCACTTGTCTGCACAGCTTGATTTTAACACAGACAGTCCTCTCAGTTGCCAGTCCTCACTGTCTGGTAATGCCCACCTTGACTTTTCAGAGGTTTCTTCTCTTACTCCTATAGAAAGACAGACATTGAGGGTATGCCACTAAACACATAAAACTATACACAGGTTCTCAGTAGTGTATCACCTGCACGTGTGCAGGAGCCTGCGTGTGCAGACGCCAGAGGACACCTTGGTGTCCTGCTTCAGGGGCCAGTTACCTTTTATTTGAGAAAGGGTCTCTTTTTTTGTTTTGTTTTTTTGAGACAGGGTTTCTCTGTGGCTTTGGGAGCTAGCCTGGAACTAGCAGGCTGGTCTCGAACACACAGAGATCCACTTGCCTCTGCCTCCCGAGTGCTGGGATTAAAGGCATGTGCCACCTCTGCCAGACCGAGAAAGGGTCTCTTGCTGTCCTAAAATACACCAGATAACTTTGGATGGATGGCCAGTGAGCCACTGGTACCTGCTCCCCAGAGATTACAAGCATGTGCTGTCACACCTGCTGGAGATAGAATTTAGGTCCTCAGGCCAGGCATGGTAGCACAAGACTTTAATCCCAGCACTTGGGAGGCAGAAACAGGCAGATCTCTGAGTCTGTGGCCAGCCCAGTCTAGTGAGGGAGCTCTAGGACAGCCTGGGCTATTACACAGAGAAATCCTGTCTCAAAAAACCAAAACCAAGCAAACAAACAACTCAGGTCCTTAAGCTCTTTGCCAGCTGAGCTGTCCCAGCCCCAGCAGCATATTAAAAGAATTTCCTGCTGGGGTCCCTGGTTTCCCAGTGTGCATACCCACTTTAGCCTTGCAGAGAGCTCCAACAAACCCCAAACCCACACAATATACTGGCAATTAAATAACCTCTACTTCTCCTTGGAAGCTCCTAAGCAATCTGCCCTGTAGCACTTTATAAAGTCATTTGCTGTGTAAAACCTATCTGATAATATTTTAATTAGAAAAGGGATATTCAGGAATAAATTTTTTTGAGATTGGAATACTCAGTGACTATGCCAGGCTAAATTCCCTAGCTCTTCTCCATAGTTTGCCCTCTGAGCTAAGAACATAAGTTATGGGAAAATCCCAAAATACTTACAGGTCCTACTGTTCCTCCAACTGGTCACATTGTATCTTAAACTCAACGCAGCACACCAGAACTTGTGACTCTGGTCTCTGGAAGGGACTTTTGTGTGAGCTGCCTTTTGAGCGACCCCTGGGAAGGAAGGAAGCCACGCCTGGGAAAGGGGGCTGGCCCATGACTTACGAAGTGTGTGAAGAGCTGGTCACTGATGAAGCGATGCACCTTCTCAAACTGCTCCAGGTCACGGTGTCCCCTCTCCATGCACAGCTCCCACATGCTCATGGCTGCCACAACTTTCACACACGCAGATTCCTGGAGCCCGTGACAAAGACATGAGTGAAAACAAAGAACTTTCAGCAGTCACCCCAAGCGGCAGCTTGTGGCAACAAGTCTGCCCTGCAGACCCCCTCTCTCTCGCAATGTTTTCACCTTGAAATAAATGATGTATGGGGCACTGAGAAAAGAATTATAGTTACAGAAAAACTGGTGACTTTAGCAGTTTAGCATTTTCTATACCCTAGTAGGAAAAAGTTTTTTTTTTTTTTTTTAAGTTAAAAAAAAGATTGGGGCAGTAATGGTGTACACCTTTAATCCCAGGACTTGGGAGGCAAATGTTTCTCTGAATTTAAAGCCAGCCTAGTCTACAGAGTGTGTTCAGGGTACACAGGGCTACACAGAGAAACCCTGCCTTGAAAAAAAACAAAAAGGGGCTGGAGAGATGGCTCAGAGGTTAAGAGCACCGACTACTCTTCCAGAGGTCCTGAGTTCAATTCCCAGCAACCACATGGTGGCTCACAGCCATCCGTTATGAGATCTGGTGCCCTCTTCTGGAGTGTAGATATACATGGAAGCAGAATGCTGTATACATAATAAGTAAATAAAATCTTTAAGAAGAAAAAAGAAAAAGATTTAAAAATATTTTATGTATGTACATGTGGGCACCTGTGGAGGCCAGAAAAAGATATTATCCCCTGCAGCAGGAGCCATGTAATGTCTTTTGTATATGTGTAATCTCTTAAGTATATGTGCTGTACAGCAAACCAAGCACCCAAGAGTTTCTTAATTCATCGGAAGTCAAACAACTCAGACCTAGACGATTCCTGGAAGATCAAGGAGCAGTCCCCTCCCTGCTCAAGTCCTGGCTCCCCTGCCCCTTCCCAAGGACAGCTGCCTCAACCTCCCTCTTGACAACCTGACCCTGGCTCCCCTGACGGCTTCCACTCTCCTCCCAATCTTCCCATCATTGCAAAAACATCTTTGCTCAGATGATGTGACTCCCTAAGCCCTGACGGGGTCTCCTTGTCCATGACCACTGAGATGTGAGCTCTGCTGTGTTTGCTGGTTCAGTCACCACACAGGAGAGGCCCCTGACCCATCATGACTGTCCTGAGCTAGGTTGTCTACTTGGCACAATGGTTGGCATTTTAAGTTTATGGAACACCTACTGTATTGATTAATGCAGTGAAATCCAAGTGCATAAAATCTCCATGAGGGCATTTCAAAGGCTAACAAAAACCATCTGTGTCTCACACATTAACAGTTCATAACATTTGCAGGTATTTTACTCTTAAAATCATATACACATGGGGAGTCTTATATTTTTAAAAAGGCCTATATTGTTGTCAGCAGGATAAACTGAAGAGTCTCCCCAGTTCTTCTCTAGTGGGGAACTAATGTCAAAGGTGGTTGCTTTCTTATTTCCTCTTAAATAACTGTCCACAGGGTGTGGCAGTGCAAATCTGCAATCCCAGCATTCAGGAGTTCATGGTTATCCTTGGCTACACAGTGAATTTGAGGCCAGTCTGGGCAACATGAGGAAAGAACAAACAAAACTACTGTAAAGTCCCACGTGTAAGGAGTACAGTGAGCGGCATAGCCAGGGGGCCTCCACACATGTGCTGCCACCGCCTCTTAGTCCATCTGTTGTTGGGAAGGGCCTTTCAGTAGTGACAGAAGCATCCCACACCTTGTCTCCTAAGCTTCGAGTATCACATAGGCCCTGCCTTACCTTTGTCATTTTTTATTGAAATTGTGCTGCAGCCCATCTGGCATCAAACCCATAGCAATCCCCCTGTCTCAGCCTCCTCAGTGCTGGGAGAACACCACCAATGCTCACATTACCCTTTGTTCTTTTAAATTAAGCATTTTTTTTCAAAGCAAGAAATCTTTTTGAAAGAAAATGATACTCACAACGAGAAAGTAGCAGACACCCTACAATGCCTACACACAGTGTTCTAAATCAAGAGAATTCCAAGAGACTGCTGAGTGACCTGGGCCCACCTGGCCACCTGGTGCCCTTTAGCTCCTTCTGTTTCCCTAGGGTTCAGATGGTTCAGACAGCTCAGCTTTGCAAGTCGAAAGTTAAGATGGCTGATTGTTGGCTCACACCTGAGATCCCGATACTCAGAAGTTCAAGGCCAGAGCTAGAGAGCTGGCCCAGTGGCTCAGAGCGCTTGTTGCTCTTCTAGAGGACTGAGTTCTGTTCCTAGCACCTTCGTGGAGCAGCTCACAACTGTCTGTAACGCCCACTCCAGAGGATCTGACATCCTTGGCAGGCACCTGCTTGTATGTGCACACCTCCACACAAATACTAAAACTGAAGAAAAAATCTGCTTAAGGCCATCTTACAATACACAGACACAGGGAGTCTGAGACCAGCCTGGGCTACATGGAACACTGTCTCACTAGGAAGGGCACCTCCATAGCTCTCCTAGCTTTGCCCCCCCCCCACCTTATCCCAGCCCCCATCTCCATCAGACATTCCCTGGGAACCTATCAACCAAGCCTGCCAGAGAAGCAAGTAGGCCAGTGAAGCAGGTAGGCAAGCTTCAGATCTCTCTCTCTCCTCCTTATCCAATGCCCCATTCTCTTCTCATCCCCAGCTCTGTAGCAGGCCACCTGCTGTGGCCTCTCCCCAACCTCCTCTCCCTTCTCCATCCCCTCCCCAGGGCATTAAGCAGATCCTGGTGGAACACGTTCTTTTCCTCTTGTGGACCCCTCCCACTTACTTCTATTCCACCCCCACTCCTAAGTATCAGCTCCCAATACCAAGGAACACATTGTACTTAGAAGCCCCAGTGGCCACACCTAGCAGGATCCTGTTCCTATCAGGCAACACACAGCCTCCTAAGAACCAGAGAGGGCAATAGAAGCCAAGGAACAAAACACCCACCCAACAAAGACGTGACCAGATGTCAGCACCTAGAATTACAATCATCCCAAATCCAGATGCCTAGATGCCAATGTAAAAACACAGTAACAGCCAGAAAAATATATCCTCTCTAGAGCCCAGCAACCTTACCACAGTAGGCCCTGAGAAATGAAACATAGCTGAAGCACAAGACAAAGGCCTTAAAATAGTCTTTATGAATACCACAGAGGTCTTTAAAGGTGAAATGAATCCCTTTAAATCCCATAAAGAAATCTGTGTAAACCAGGCATGGTGGTGCATGATTTTAATCCCTGCACTCAGGAGGCAGAGGTAGGTCTGGTCTACAAAGTGAGTTCCAGGACAGCCAGGGCTGTTACATAGAGAAACCCTGTCTCAGAAGACAGACAGAGACAGACACACACAGAGATCTATGAAAACACAAACAGTAAAAGGAAATGAATAAAACTGTTCAAGATCTAAAAGTAGAAATAGAATCAATAAGGAAAATCTGGACATGAAAAATTTAGGAGCATAAACAGGAACCAGAGAGACCAGCCTCACCAAGAGAGATGGACGAAGAGACTCTCAGGTAGTAAAGGCAAGACAGAAGAAATGGATACCTCAGTCAAAGAAAATATCAAATCTAAAGGACTTCAGGCACAAAATATCCAGGAAATCTGGGATGATTCGAAAAGATCAAATCTAAGAACAACAGGAATAGAGGAAGGAGAAGAAACCCAGGTCAAAGGCACAGAAAGTGTTCTCAATGAAATCATAAAAGAACTAACCTAAAGAAGGAGGTGCCCACCAAAGTACAGGAAGCTTACACAACACCAAACAGACTGGACCAGAAAAGAAAGTCCCCACAGCACACAGTAATCAAAACAGTAAACATACAGAACAAAGACAGGACATTTAAAAGCTGCAAGAGAAAAGACCAAGTAACATATAAAGGCAGACCTGTTTGTTAGAATAACATCAGACCTCTCCTAACACCCCTGCCCTGCCTCCCACCGGATTTCAAGAATGAGTCCTAGAACTCATTCTGTAGACCTAGGTGGCCTCGAACTCAGAGACCCACCTGCCTCTGCCTTCCGAGTGCCGGTATTAAAGGCTTGGACTGCTCTGCCCAGCAACATGTGACTTCTCAATGGAGACTCTAAAAGCCAGAAGGACCTGGACAAATGTTCTACAAATTCTAAGAAACCACAGATCCCAGCCCACACTACTATATGCAGCAGAACTTTCAATCACAATAGATGGAGAAAGAAAGACATTCCAAGATAAAAACAAATACAATCCTACAGAAAGTGCTAGAAGAAAAACTTCAACCTGAAGAGGTTAACACCACCGAAGAAAACACAAGGAATAAACAATCCCAGGCCAGCAAATCAAAATGGGAGGAAAAAAAAAAAAACACCCCACAAGAAGAAAATAACAGGAGTCAACAAACACTGTTCCTTGATAACTCTCAACATTGATGGTCTCAACTTTCCAATAAAAAGACACAGACTAACAGAAGGGATTTGAAAACCCTTCTACTGCAGCCATGAAACACACCTCAACATCAAGATAGACATCGCCTCAGGGTGGAAGGATGGAAAAAGATCCCAAGCAAATGGACCTAAGAAGCAAGCTGGTGTACCTATTTTTTTTTTAATTATAGTTTGTTAATTTATTATGTATATTGTGTTCTGCCTTCATGTACACCTGTAGGCCAGAAGAGGGCACCATATCTCATTATAGATGGTTGTGAGCCATCATGTGGTTGCTGGGGATTGAACCCAGGACCTCTGAAGAGCAGCCAGTGCTCTTAACCTCTGAGCCATCTCTCTAGCCCCATGGTGTACCCATTTTAATATCTGACAACATAGACCTCAAACCAAATTAATTAGAAGGGACAGGGAAGGACACTACATACTCAAAGGAAAATCTACCAAGAGGACATTGCAATTCTTAACATCTATGCACTAAACACAAAGGCACCCAAGTAAATAAAAGGAACACTGTTACAGTTTAAATCACATACTGACCCTCACACACTGATAGTGGGAGTTTTAATACCCCACCAGTGGACAGGTCATCCAGACAAAAACTAAACAGAAATACTGGAGCTAACTGATGTCATAAACCAAATGGACCTAATAGATATGTACAGAAC